CACCCAAGAACAATTAGAAAAGGAGAATGCTGACCTTGCAAATCAATCATACTATGTGCCAGTGAAGAATTTAATTAAGTACAGCAATGGGCCTCTAGAGCAATCAAGAGCCAAGTTACGAAACTACTAAACTAAGGATTATGTTATTAAAACATGACTGAAATAAAAATTTGACAGACTACACATATGCCCATATTTTTTTAATTGTATCTTTAACTCTTAGCACCATTTCCTAACTAATTGGTTACTGAATCAGATCCTACCGCACAAGAAGAATATACAAATTCCCATAATTTACAACACAACTAGTTTACAACCAGCATGGGCACCAGAAGAGAGAATGGGGATCTTCTTTTTCCCATATTTATACACACACACGCGCGCGTAAACAGTAGATCTGGAGGCTCCTTCACTGAAGGAAAGGTTATGGGGCAGCCCCTTCAATTCCAAATATTAATAAGACTACAGAATTAATAGTGCTAGAATGCTGAGTGAAAAATCTATCTTTATTGTATAAAATATCAGAACAGCATCTTTCCAAGAACACACCGTCTAATTCAGCCATATAATTTAACACAGTTGAATGTCTGCTTCGTACGTCTTCTGAAAGTGACAATGCGACCAATCACTTTTAGTTTCAAAGTCACATTTCTGCAATTGATAAGACTGTAATCCTTACAAGGTGGCTCAGGAATTGTTTTTGTTGGTTTACTTCAGACGATGAGTGAACTAAAACCAAGCCCCAAACAAAAAAACTGGAATAAAACAAGTTGATCTCCCTCCCCGCCCCCAGCCCCAGAGTTATTTCTTGGCATACGTGATCTTCATGGCATGAGAAGGTGTAATTCTGAATCCCTGTAACGCATCGCGTGCAGCTCCAGCCTGCCCTTCATTCTCAAACTCCACAAAAGCAATGTCATGTCGTCCAGGCACCAAACGCACCTCTTTGAAACCGGGAAATCTGGTAACAGAAGAACAAGTACTAAGTCTGCCAATTTTTAACCAAATAACATAAAAAAGCATCATCTGAATTGTAATTTATTCAATGCTACGATGCTGTAAAAGTAATTCAGATAGTTCCATCCCAGATCATCTTGAACAGATGTGCTAAATGGAAGCAATCATAACCGGGACTTGCAGGATAAGATTTGAATAGGAACGAAGTCCCCAGCCAGATGTTTTGTTTGAACTGAAAAACACCATCAGATTCCAGGTTGGATCTTTCTGTCGGATGAAGTTACTCTATTACTCATCAACTGCAGCTTCCTCAGGTGGAAAATACCAAATACTGATTCAATGAATGTATTATTTGATATATTTTTGAAGAATAAGATTTCAATGTGCTATCTAATTTCTGCAAAAGATAAACCAGGGCCTTCAAAAATACCTCTGCACAGACTTACCATTTTAGTGCATTTATCAAAATTAATTTTCTTTCCCAAACATTCCACCAGAGATCAAAGCTAGGATTGTCCTGATCTTTAGGTTCAGTAACTTTCATTAAGATTTAAAAGAATGAAAAGTTTAATTCAAAAAAATTAGGCAACATCTTTCAACAGAGTAGAATTTGTAGTGAATCAAATTCAACTTGTCCAGCATCAGGTGAGCATCATCAAAACCAACTGATTTGACCAACATACTTACTGGTTAAACAGCATAGACAACATCATCTCATTGGTCTCTTCAGGCAAATTAGTGAGGAACAGAATGTAGTTTGGTGGATTGTCCGGTACCTACAAGGAAGAAAAGCAAAGCAGAGGAAAATATTGTTTTTGTTTCTAAAAGAAAGTCAACTTTCCCCCTCTCAGGAGAACGAGACAGAGAGAGAGAGAGAGAGAGAGAGAGAGATATGTGTGCGTGAATGTGCAGCCTCTGGTGCCATTGAATATTGCCTATATAATTCAAACACAAGTGCAAATACAAATTTGCACAAATTATAATGTTACCATGCCAAATACCACCTAAAGTGTAAGCGATATACTTTTATAGATCTGCACAAACATGCTTAGATATGACACAAAATGAACAGAATCAAAGATCCAATTGGTTACAACTGGTTATGGCTTTATACATCTTACTGCCACCAACAGACACACAACTTTGAGCGAATTAATCCTCCAACTTTTTACACAAGTCTTGCGTCTCTCTCCATGCCAAAGTATAAGCCTTTGTGCTTTTAGTCAACATCTATAAAACTTCCTTTGTCCTGTTCACCGTTAAATCTATCAGGTCCTTTGAGATGTTACTTCTACTTGAAAAGGAACTACACAAATACAGATTGTTGAAACTGTATACCACCAGGAACTGAGAAGCTGAGCAGAAAAACCTGCTACCGATTCTCCACTATTACTACTTTGAGCCAAGAGCTGGGAGGCTGACAGGAACACTCCAGAAACAGCTCTACTCAACACCTTCCCCATCATGATTCACTGCGAACAGAAACTCAGTAGAGCGACAGGATATCAAATCTACCATTCAATCACTTTTTGTTTTACAAAGCAGCACTTGGTTGTTCTCATCTTATTATTTTTGCATTTTTCAGCTTCTTTCTAATTTTACTTATATTAAACTTAAACACACTGACCAAATCTAAAACAAAGAAGGTTTTTAAAAGATTACCTGCTGATTTGCTGAGGAAGTAGTCTGATTGGAGTTTGCAGTTGTTGGTTGTGCAGCTCCCTAAGATTAAAAAATCAATGTGAGTTCTGCACAGTGCATACAAAAAAATACCAAGTGGAAAACATATTTGCTTTTCCTTTTTAATGTTGTACAAGTAAGTGATCAGGAACAGTGTTTGATAACAGCGTAACAAAATGGTGGTCTTTTTGCATCAGTTGCAAACCTTACTCCAGGCAAGTTGTACCTTACTTTTTTTATTGCTTTTCAATTCAAGATCTCAGAACTTACATAATTTTTGCAAGAACTCTAAGCAGATGGCTTTGCGGATGACACCCAACTCTATCTTCCTGCCTCCACCCTCAACTCCAGGACCACTACTGTCCTGACAGACTGCTTGTTGGACATCAAGTCTACATCAAATTTTCTACAGTTGAATGTGAACAAGACTGAGGCCTTCCTGATTGACTCGCGCCAGCGCCTCTGCACCTCAGGCTCTGGCAGCATCAACCTCCATAGTTGCACACTACAACTCACCAAGCCAGTCAGGAACCCAGGTGTCTTGTTCGACCCTCAACTGTCTTTTCTTCCCCACATCCAAGCCATGACCCGCTCTGCCTTCCCTCACATCCGTAACATCGCCCGACTCCGCCACTACCTCATCCCTCAGGCCACTGAAACTCTTGTTCATGCCTTCATCACCTCCAGGCTCGACTATACAAACGTCCTGCTTGTCGGCCTTCCCAACTCCTCCCTCCACGGGCTACAAATAATCCAGAACTCTGCAACCCGTGTCCTCTCCTGCACCAAACTCTGCAACCCCATCTCCCCCATTCTCGTCTAACTCCATTGGCTCCCTATCCTTCAGAGGATCCAGTTCAAGATCCTGGTCCTCACTTACAAAGCCCTCCATGGCCTCCCCACGCCATCTCTGCGACCTCCTAACCACCCACCAACCCACCCACTCCCTCCACTCAGCCGGCTCTGGCCTGCTCCACGTCCCCGGACCCACCCACCCACAATTGGCGGGAGAGCCTTCAGCCACTCTGCCCCCAACCTCTGGAATTCTATCCCCCAGTCACTCCGCCTCACCCCCATCTTAGCCTCCTTCAAGTCCCGCCTCAAAACCCTCCTCTTCGACCATGCCATCGGCCACCCCCCCTTCCCCTCCCCGACCCCAGCTCAGGTCTGAAATGCTGTATACTGTCCAGCGCCTTGGGACGTCCTCCCGACGTGAAAGGCGTTATACAAATATAATCTTGTGGTTGTTGTTGTCAGAAGATGAAGACTTACTATCTAGTGAAGTTAGGTTATACAAACTGTGACGAGTCACACTAACCTACCATGCATTTCACGTTCGAATTTGCAGTGTAAATATTGATTGGGTTTAACAAGACCGAGGCTCTCCTGATTGGCTCCCGTCAGCATCTCCTCACTTCAGGTGCTGACAGCATCACCATCCATGGTTGCACACTCCACCTTGGTAAATTAGTCCGGAACCTTGGTGTCTTGTTTGACCCTCAACTATCCTTTCTACTCCACATCTACTCCATGATCCGCTCTGCCTTCCCCCACCTCCACAACTTCGCTGGACTCCACCAGTCTCACACCGCAGGCTGCCAAAACCCTCATACACGCTTTCATTACATCGAGGCTTGACTATGCAAACTCCTTGCTTGTCGGCCTCCCCAACTCCTCCCGCTATAGACTGCAGATCATCCAGAACTCTGCAGCCCTCTCCCGCACTGGGCTCCGAGACCCTATCACTCCAATCCTCGCCGACTCTACTGGCTTCCCATCACATAGAGGATAAAATTCAAGATACTGGTCCTCACCTTCAAAGCCCTCCAGTCTTGCTCCCCCCTGTAACCTCCTAACCCCCCACTATTCTACACGCTCACCTCACCAAGTAGGTCACTTTTGCCCAGTCACTTGAGTGATTAGATTAGTGAGATTCTACTGTGTGTGTGCATATATATATTAGATATACATGTTATATATATGTACATAGAGATTAGTTTTTTTTATAATAATAATCCTTGCATTTGATATAGCACTTTTTACATCTTCTAGACGTCTTAAAGCGCTTCACAGAATAGACTGTAAAGTGAATTGACTGTATATTTGTGGACAAAATGCAGCAGCCAAATGCGCACAGCAGTGTCCACAAACAGTTGTGGACTGAAATGACCAATTTATTATTGTTTTTTTTTTGAGGTATTATTATCAGGCGTGTGCAGTAAGGAAACTTGCCCAAGGTTTCACCCTACCTGGAATCGAACCCAGGTCTCTCACTTGCAAAGCGAGTGCTCTAACCACTGAGCTACAGGACTCCACAATTTTTATTTAATTATAATTTAATTATTATTTGGGGAATTCAAACGATACATTAAGCAGACAGCCTGAAATCTTTTTGGTGTGAAAAAGGCAAAAGAGGGAGGGACTAAGGGGGTATAAATTAGGTGGATTGGAAGTGATCAAGATTGCTGATTCTTTTGGGGTCACTTCCATCTGCTGACGTGGAGATTAAGGTGTGCGCCTGACTGGGGCCGTAACTCCAAGTCAAGATCGGTTTCTTTTAATTATTATTTGGGGAACTGCTGCTAGTCTTGAGTATGGTACTTTATTAGTTCTTAGATAGAAATTTTACTGTTGAATGTTGCAATAGTTTATTTATGTTATCGCGATTGAGTTAAACCAGGGCAAACGCCCCCTCCACAGCCCCACCCACCACACACCCCCAACCCCCCCACCACAACCACCCCAACCCCTCCCACTACAGCCCCCCACCCCACTACAGCCCCGCCCCCTCCACAGCCCCCCACCACACCCCCCAACCCCCACCACAGCCCCCCCACCCCCCACCACAGCCCCCCCAACCCCCCACCACAACCACCCCAACCCCCACCACAACCACCCCAACCCCCCCACCACAGCCCCCCCAACCCCCCACCACAGCCCCCCAACCCCCCCACCACAACCACCCAACCCCCCCACCACAACCACCCCAACCCCCCCACCACAACCACCCCAACCCCTCCCAACCCCCCCACCACAGCCCACCCCCACCCCAACCCCCCCACCCCAACACCCCCCCACCCCAAACCCCCCCTACCTCAACCCCTCCCAACCCACCACAGCTCCCACCCCAACCCCTCCCAACCCACCACAGCACCCCCACCCCAACCCACCACACCAGCCCCCCCACCCCAACCCCTCCCAACCCACCACAGCTCACCCCAACGCCTCCCAACCCACCACAACCCCCTCCCCACCCCAACCCTCCAACCCACCACAGCCCCCCCCCACTCCAACCCCTCCCAACCCAACTTCCCCCCAACCCCAACCCCTCCCAACCCACCACAGCCCCCCCCCACTCCAACCCTCCCAACCCAACTTCCCCCAACCCCAACCCCTCCCAACCCACCACAGCCCCCCCCCACCCCAACCTCTCCCAACCCACCACAGCCCCCCCCACCCTAACCCCTCCCAACCCACCACAGCCCCCCCTACCCCTCCCAACCCACCACAGCACCCCCAACCCCTCCAAACCCACCACAGCCCTCCCACCCAACCACTCCCAACACAGCACAGCCCCCCCAACCCAACCACCCCCAACACAGCACAGCCCCCCAACCCAACCCCACACAAAACAGCACAGCCCCCCCAACCCAACCCCACACAAAACAGCACAGCCCCCCCGACCCAACCCCCACAAAACAGTACAGCCCCCCCAACCCCCCCCCAACCCAGCACAAGCCCCCCCACCCCCTCACCCCAGCACAGCCCTCCCCACCCCAACACCCCTCACCCCAGCACAGACACCCCCCACCCCAACCCCCGTCACCCCAACCCAGCCAGCCCACCCCAAACCACCTCACCCCAAACCAGCACAGCCCCCCTCACCCCAGCACAGCCTCCTCCCACCATAGCACAGCCCAAACTCCCCCCACCACAACCCAGCACAGCCCCCCCTCATCCCAACCCCCCCACTCCAACCCAGCACAGCCCCCACCCCTCACCCCAGCACAGCCCCGCCCACCCCAACCCCCTAACCCAAGCACAGCCTCCCCAACCCCCTCACCCCAGCACAGCCCCACCCCAACACCCCTCACCCCAGCACAGACTCCCCCCCCCCCCCACCCCAACCCCCTCACCCCCAACCCAAATCTCCCCAGCGCAGCCCCCCACCCCAACCGACCTCACACCAGCACAGACACCCTCCAGCCCAACTCCCCTCACCACAGCACAGCCCCCCCCCACCCCAAATCCCCACAAGCTAGCACAGTCCCCCGCAATACAACCCCCCCAACCCAGCACAGCCCCCCACAACCCAACCAGGCACAGCCCCCCCACCCTAACTCCCCTCACCCCTCCCCAGCACAGCCCCCTCACCCCAACCCCCCCACTCCAACCCCTCACCCCAGCACAGCCCCGCCCACCCCAACCCCCCTCACCCCAGCACAGTCCCCCCACCTCAACACCCCTCACCCCAGCACAGCCCCACCCCAACACCCCTCACCCAAGCACAGCCCCCCCCAACACCCCTCACCCCAGCACAGACCCCCCCCACCCCAACCCAGCACAGCCCCCCCACACCCACACCCAGCCCAAGCCAGCACAGCCCCCCCCCCAGAACCCCACCACAGCACAGTAACCCCCCACCCCAATCCCACCACCCACCCCAGCACAGCCTCCCCCCACTCCAAATGACCCCACCACAAATGCCACCACCCCAGCACAACCCCCACCCCATCCCCAACACCCACCCCAACCCCCGTCACCCCACCCCCCCAGCACAGCTGCCCCCCAGCCCCCCACACCCCAACCCAGCACAGCCATCCCCCACGCCAAACCCCCTCACCCCATCGCAGCACAGTGACCCCACCCAAAACCCCCTTACCCCAACCCAGCACAGCCCCCCAGACACCAAGCCCCCTCACCCCAACCCAGTACAGAACCCCCCCCAACCCCCTTCACCCTAACACAGCACAACACCCCTCCCACCCAATCCCCCCACACCCCGACCCAGCACAGCCCCCCCCACCTCAACACCCTCACCCCAACCCAGCACAGCCCCCCCCCACCTCAACACCCTCACCACAACCCGGCACAGCCCCCCCCACCTCAACACCCTCACCATAACCCATGGTCATTTTGAAAATTGTCCCGTGATTTTGTATGCTTCAGTGTTGAAGCTTTTCACAGCAGAAATTGTAGGGGGAAACTAATTTTGATAAATGTGAAAAACGGAGACGCTCTGGGAATCTTATTGAGGGGCAAAAGGGAGGTTGAAATTTTCTTTTTAACTGCAATAACTATCAGTTATTTGCTGGTACTGCAAGAAAATGCTTGACATTTGACCTCAGCTTCATTAGATGTGATTTCCCATCTATGAAATAAATCTTTTTATTCTTAATTATTGAACATCGATTAGGACATAGTCAAACACCATATTTACTTAACAGATTTATACAGAGGTTAGTTTATAATGGACCGGCCACCAGAGGTAAACTGTACAACTGCAGAACTTCCTGATGTATCTCACCTTAACAGTTTTCAAGGGAATGATGTACATTCTAACACTAGCCATTTAATTTACACGTATAAAGCATTCAAGAAGTAGCTACCCATTAAATAACGTTTTGGCACTGATTTTGAATAGTTGTTATCTCGATATCAGAGATATCTGTAGCTTTAAGTTCAATGCCAACATTGAAGCGCCTCCTTTAGTTTTCTTAATCACTTCCAAGTTGTTGCGGTGGGTCTTCCAGAATCCTTTGTTCGTCCACCTTTTGAGCCAAAGAACTGACCCAAGCGTTTCTTCAGGTCTCTGTCAGCTCCTTCATTCATTGCCAGCTCTTCATCATAACTGGGACAGCAGAATAAAAGCAAGGAATAACAAATTCACCTCTTTGAAGTTTAATAACAGCCAATTGTTCCATTGAGGATTAGATTTTTTTTTCGGTATGAAATGTATTTTGCAAAGTGATATCAAGCAACCTACACCTCCCATGAATGGAAAATAAGAATGGAAATTAGGAGAGTGTTACTCTGAAGTGAGTGGCCTTCAGGCACTCTGCCCCCACCCTCTGGAACTCCATTCCACAGTCCCTCCGCATTGCCCCCTTCCTTCCCTCCGTCAAGACCCAGCTCAAGACCCTCCTCTTCAACTGTGCTTTCGATCACCCTCCTTGCCCCCCACCCTCCACCTCTCCAATCCCAATCCCCAGCTTGGGTCTGAAACAGTGACTGTCCAGCGCTTTGGGAAGTCCTCCTGACATGAAAGCTGCGATGCAAATGTAATTTTGTTGTTGTTGTTAGGGATGTCTGTTGGTTCTGCATTCCATCTGAATCCTTAGGAATTGGTTGCAGATTTTATAGTTTAATAACTCATAAAATTGCAGTCCAAATTGTACAAATTTTCCTGTTTGATTTAATCAGTGTATTTTGATATTGGTTTGTTGCAAGAAACGACTGCATTCTTTATGATCTGTAGAGGAGTGTAATCTGATTCAAAAGCATATCCCCATTAATTTTCTTGTTTAACCGTGCGCAGGCAGCCTGAATGACTCAGACTTATCTCAATTCTGCCCTATCCCCAGCTGCAGTATTCATTCAGATCATACAGGAATTAAAATATCTTCTGATCCTTCTTTAGTATTTATCAAATACACAGATTGTGCTGGAATTCATTACAATATTACATTAATAAAAAAAACTTCAAGGTTAGCTATAACCACCTTTTTAAGGCAGAGAATCAGGTTACATCCACTGATTCACTTCCAACTGTTCCCCATCATGTTCCCCATTGAAGATCAAAACTAAGCAGCAGGCCAGGAGTGTCAGATAATTGGACTTTGCCAAAAGATTTTTTGCACAAAACTCTATTGATAACCCAGAGGCAATTGGTTAGGAACAACACAATAATTTGTCAGATTCTAAAAGTAAGCACGTAGCAGGGAGAAAGGGTCATTCGGCCAATCCACTGTATTGATCCATTTCCAGCTCCCCCCCTGAAGGTAAACCTCAACTGTGAATGAGTACTCTTCATGGAAAGAATACTTTATGCATTTTATACTTTGTTCAAAAGTAACTTTGCGGGAGCTATTTTGCCAAGAGGTATTTGATTCATCACATAAGCAGTAGCAGAATACTTTAGTTCACATTTTCTGCGGAGGAGAACAAAGGTTTTGATAAATATTTGGTATTTCTCTTTTACTCTGTGCAAGGTACAGACTTAACATGATGTGGACTATGTGACGACTGACTGGGATTAATTCCATTAGTTCACTGCTCAGTTTCATCTAGTTCAACATCTGCAGTTCTCAATAACATAATGAAACATATTTTTGATCACGATTTGAAGACAGACGGTTTAGCAAAATTAACTTGACTGTAAGTTGGTCAATTTACAGTACAGTTCACATCCGACTCCTTGTTGAGTCAGGAAGTCATTGAGCAACCTGACCTCGTCTGACAGAGGCTGCGCTATAATTCATCAAACATTTAGTTCTTACAGTTACATCTTAGCGGAGGGTAAATATATAACCTTCAGTTCAAATATATGTGCATGGGGAACTCAGCTGCACCATTCTGTGTTTCAAACATAAGAATTTGAAAAAAAAGACAATTACTACTTTATTAATATTTACACGTGAAACACAAAATTATGATTTTGTGATGAACTTACAGGAGCTCATAATTCCCGAAAGCCTCTTTGGGGGGATTTCTGTTGCATTTGCAATCTGGGATTTCACCGAAAGGCACAACAATATTCAACGTATCATTGATAAGATTGTACTTCATTACTCGGTCATTAGCTGTGCTGGATGACAATGAAGGTGAAGCATTAACCTGCATGGGGGGGAAAGAACAAAGAAACTTTATATGGATGGAAACTACTTGCTATTTGTCGAGATTTTCTCCTTTCCCACCTATACCCCCCACAATATTACCCTGATTTCTCCTCTTATGCTAGAGCAGTTAAATCTATCTCTGACTGCACCTATGGTAACCTATATTTTCCTCTCTCTCCTGCTCTGTGTCCAACCGATCGCTGTGAAGTACTTTGAGATGTGAAGGTCACTATATAAATCCAGGTTGTTGTATAGTCTGCAGGCACTGAAAGAGTAACCCTAGACAGGAGCCTCTTCCTCTTCCCCCTCTCAGAACCCTTGATAGAGCACCTCTGGTCCTCACTTTCCACCCCACCAGCCTCAACATCCAAAAAATAATTCTCTGCCATAGCCAGCACCTCCAGCGTGACCCAACCACTAAACATCTTTCCCTTCCCTCCCCTGTCAGCAATCCGAAGGGACCGTTCCCTCCGTGACTCCCTGGTTCATTCCTTCATCACTATCAACAGTTCCTGTGCTCCCCCGGCACCTTTCCATGCCAGCACAGGAGATGCAATACCTGCCCTTTCACCTCCTCCTATGTCCAGGACCCCAAAAACAGATTTCAAGTGACACAGTGATTCACGTGTACTACCACCAATGTCGTTTACTGCATTCGCTGCTCAGAATGTGGTCTCCTCTACACTGGAGAAACGAAACGCAGATTGGGTGATTAATTTGCTGAACACCTTCATTCTGTCTGCAACCACAACCCTGATCTTCCAGTTTCTTGCCATTTCAACTCTCCCTCCCACTCGCACTCTGACGTCTCCATCCATGGTCTCCTACGCTGTTTCAATGAGCCACAGCCCAAGCTCCAGGAACAACAACTCATTTATCTGCTAGGGACCTTACAGCTCTCTGGCCTCAATATTAATTTCAACAATTTCAGACCATAACAGCTCACTTTCCCCCTCCCCTTCTTCTGTGACCATTACCACATCATCTAGATCCCAAACACACCTTTTCTCCCTCTGGTCTGCCTGTTGTGTTCCAAGTTCTTTCTCCCCCCATTCCCTTATGTTCTGCAGGATTTACACCTCTATTCCCCTGCTTTGTTGCAATCCCCCACCTTGTTCTGTATCATTAATACCTCTTTAACCCATTATCCCCTGACCTCTACCCCATTTTATCCTTTGTCTTCCTTGCCCTGCCTCCCCCTTCATTGTTAGCCCTTAAAAGCCTTTCCCTCCCAATATGCCCCAGTTCTGATGAAGGGTCATAGACCTGAAACGTTGACTCACTTTCCTTTCTCCGTATATGCTACCTGACCTACTGAGTGCTCCCAGTGATTTCTGTTTTTCTACCCTAGACAGGAGTGTTGGCAGGCTATTTAACTGTGAGAACTTCACAGAACAGTCACTTGTATATGATGCAGGATGTTAGCCAATACCCATGGAATTGCAATCTCGCAAGAGGCAGAAAAGAAATGAGAAAAGGAGCTTTTGCAAGCTTCCAATATTCTTGTCCCAGTGCTGTAAATAATAATCCTTGGACTTGACATCGCGCCTATAGCTCAATATGGGCCGGACCTTCAGCCTTTTTGCCCCCACCTTATGGAAATTCATCCCATATTTCCTTCGCCTCGCTCCCTCCCTTGCCTCCTTCAAGGCATGTCTCAAAACCCTCCTCTCCATCCGAGCCTTCGGGCCACTCTCCCTGCCTTCCACCCTCCTAAGCCCAACCCCCAGCTCGGGTCCAAATGCCGGACTTTCCAGCACATTGGGACGTCCTCCCGATGCAAAAAGTCCTAAACAAATGGAATGTTCTATTGTATTGTAATGCACTTAATAGGAAATTTCTCTAAAATTGTGTGTTTGTAGGCCATAACACATAACAAGTTCCCACAAAAAGCCACAAAGTAAATGACGAAAATATCTGGGGGATTGTAGGTCAGGACAATGGGAGTCTCATGGGATCTCTACCATCCTCCTGAAGAAAAAGATGGGACCTTGGTTTAATATTTCATCTGAAAGATGGCACTGCACTGCCCTGGAGCGTCAGCTAAGACTGTGAGTTTATAGGCCCAAGATGGAACTTGAACCCACAACTTTCTGTCCAAAGCTTTGATGACTGGGAAGCTGTGGACATGGCCCTGTTCCCTGCAATCCTTTGGCCGGCACCTTTTACTTGAATACTGTGCTAATTGAACATGTTTTGCTTTAATTTGATGGGAACACATTGTCACTTTTCACAAAGAAAATGACAAATCTCATTAAGACCCTAAATGAAAATGACAGCTTTGTATTGATTTTGCGTTCTGTGCTAATGTTTGGTATTCTGATTGTAAAATGGTAGTTTAAGCAGGTAACAGCAAGAGTCATAACATTGAATAATACCCATCTTACTTAGGGTGTTTACCTCAATGAGCCAGGGCTTCAACTTGTCATCAATGATTATGTCATAGCCATAACATTCAAAGCAGTGTTTGTCATTGTTGATCAGCGGCTAAATAAAGAAGAAAGGCATACCATGAATAACTCCTGAATTATTAATACATTCTGTGCTCATGTTCACAAGCAAAGTTTGGATAAAGATAGCCCTTTGGTCTATTTGATCTCATCTTTCCACAATAGCCACTCTACCATCACAGCACCTGAAGTGTTTCTTAAATAAGTCTAGAATCCTGGGCTCAAGAACCTCTCCTGAAAATAAAATAAGAATTTTCAAATAGATACCATCATAGTATACAAGACGTTTTTTTGTTTGTTTTTGAATGTTTTATTTTTGGCACTTTTTAAAATCTTTTTTCTTTTTTTTTCTTTGTCACATCTTGATGACGTGATAAAGTGCTATATCAAATGCAAGGGTTGTTATTATAATTATCATTATTGTTTTGCTTCTGTGTACAGTGCAATTCCTTTTCTATTGCCGACTGTAACAGATATGCACTGGAAGCAGTGTATCCGCTTCCTTAGAAAATGAATCAAAGGACATTTGGGAACATTTCAACTAAAAACCAAGAATACAGTTTAAGTTATGGATAAATTTTGAACAAGCATTTGAAAATTATTGGACCATGTACCAAACAATAATGTGATAAGATGTATACATGACAGTTGACAAAGGCTGTGTTTTCAATGCAGTTTTCTGCAGCTATTTCCTCCTCTGGAATATTCACTAAGTAACCAAGCTTCACTTACAGCAACAGCTTTGAGTGATTGTAGAATAATCCAACTAATTTCATCGAACACTTTATCAGTGACCCTCTGTCCACGCGTGCTCTCCAGGTAGAGTCGCAAATTCGCCACAGTCCACTTTTCACCATGAATGGGATTGTAATCATCCTTTTATTAAACAGAGAAAAGAAACAGGGCTATTTTTATCACCTCTCTGCACCCTCTAAAGACTTCAGAATTAAATTCACTTGTTCGATCTGTGTGCATCACATGTAAAAATGACCATGGTGTGACACTAATCATCCCCAATTTGACACTTACGCTCAACAACAAGATGCACTGATACAGCGCCCTTCATGCAAGGTAGCATCTTGGAGTGCTTTGTATATACAGAGAGCATATCTGGTTTGGGAATGGAATGTTGAGTGTCTCAGTAAAAAAAATTGTGTTTAGGGTGAAAGCACATGGTATCCCTGATGGCTTTGTAACTGAAGAAATCACTCTGTATAGCATTAAGACATATGATGGCGTATAAGTTTGATTCCCAGTTTGTGCGACTTCAACTATTCTGAGCCCAGGTTGAGAATAAGCCTGTGTGTCCATGTACTCAGGACCTAAAATCAACTTGCGTTCCTGCTTTTCATCGCCAGCCAGTAACATCACTTCATCCCCACTGTGAGTGTGTGGACATCAGGTAAGAACTGGCTTGGCTGTGATGCCCTCCATGGTCAAATAGTCTCACTGTCTGGGCTCGCAGATGAAAATAGCCACTGGGATGACACTCTGGAGAGCTGCACTGTATCTCATTGGGAATTGTCAGTGCCTTCAGGGAGAAAAAAAGCAGGACAATGTTTTGAATTGATCAAAACAAAACACTTTAGGAACAGTATTACATAGTGAGGAAGACACTGTTTTTGCAACTGGCCTTTTCTATATTTCACATTGAATTAAAAAAGGTCCCATTCTCAGCATAGATGTTTGTCACATTCATTAGCAGAAAATTAGTCAGAGATGAATTTGAAACACTTCCACGGTTTGGAAACCTCCAAGGCAGCATGGTGGATGGTGACTTTGGAAATGCATTTCCTTGTCTTGTGACTTTCTGATCTCAACCATATTGTCAATGACAAGGACTGGGTGGAGATATCTAAGAACTCACTGTGAAAATCCTAGGCCCAACCCATGTCTTCCTCTTCAACATACAACATCAGTACAATTTTAATGGTAAATCAAAATCTCATTAGGTATGAATACAACTGTCTATGTTGCTGCATTTTCACCAATCCTTACCCCATGTTTCTGAATGGCTACATTTGTAAGATGCACAAATATGTTGTCCAGTTCACTAGTACTTGCAGTGTACTTGACTGTGCAGAAACGGCAAAATCCAAGTTTATACCTGGAAATATATTTTTTGTTAAAAAGCATGTTATTAAAATTAATTTTCCATACAACAACAAATTACATTTGTAAAGCGCCTTTCACGTCGTGAGAACGCCTCAAGACACTGGATAGTCAGGATTTGCAACTGAGCTGGGGAGTGGAGGGCAGTGAGCATGGCGTTGGAGGGAATACATAACAGTATGAGAAAAAATGTGATACAACAATAGAAAATAACCCAGCCCTATTCCCCAAAGCTTGAATGGTCCTTGGATGTCTATTTCCTAGAACAAAGAGCATGGAAGGTACTTGAAAAACATATGGATTCCAAATGATAACAGAAGGTGCAAATAAGAGTCATATTTTTGATTATATCATGTGGATTTATGTTTTATAATAAAAAAACATGCATTTGATATGGCGCCTTATCACGTCTTCAAGACGTCTCAAAGCGTTTCACAGAATATACTGTAAAGTGAATTAACTGCATATTTGTGGGCAAAATAATCTGCAGAAACATTATTTGTGACATGTATGTGTTTTGTCCAACACATCTCTGAAGTGTATGAGTTCTATATAAGGAGCTTCCTTCACTGCACTTACATATAACACTTCAAAGGGCGAAATGAGGTGACTAGCACATACAGTCGAAGATCAAACTTCTTCCCACCAATGAGTAAGGGGTTGTCTATGTAGAGAGAGATGATGTAGCTTTCCTTTGTGGTGCTGGCTACAAAGCTGTAAAAAAAAGCAAATTAGTCTTTCAATAATTGTAAATAGAATTACTGCATTTAGGATTGTTGCATCGATTCTATGCAACAATGCTTTTCTACAAATAATTCCCTTTTTATCATATGTTAATGTAAGATTTTACAATCAATAACACTGTTCTTAACAAGAATTATTTTTAGCGAAAGCATATATTTTTACAGAATGATAAATTGCTGTTGTATGAAATGATTAAAAGAAATGTGTTAATTTGAACAATTTTCCAATAACATGTATTTTAATTCCATTGATGTTCCTCTAAATATTCTCACTTTATCTCTTCTACAAGTTAGATTGTAATTTCCAGAATTATTATCATATTAATTCTGGAAGTAGGTTCCCATGCCAAATTAATTAATCCAAGTTCAAAGAGATTAGTTGCTTTTAGGTCGGGAATTGAGAGTGAAGATTTTGAAGGGTAACAGAACTCAAATCATAGGAACCTAGGAATTAAGATGAACAGAGTCTTATCGCTAGAAGGAAAAGGCCACGGCCCACCTAGTTCACCTTCTACCATCCTGGTAGTCACATGCTACAATAATAATGGAGATGTTGACTATTCATGGCAATCAATCTGTATCGACTTGTCTACAACAGAAACGAGGAAAACCCACCGGTGGTGGAAAGCTTTGGAAGACTATAGGTCCAAAGATGCCTGTTTCTCCCAAGCGTACTACTCTTGCCATATGTCATGCCTTAAATTACTCCTATGTGTCTCAAAATATTATTTTCTGAAAGAAGTCTGACAAATTTCAATTAATAAATACTTTCTGCTGTCGTCCTAGGGAGCTTGCTCCATAGATTTGACACTCGCTCACTGAAATAATGTTTCTGCAGATTAGTTTTGAATTTATCTACTGGTTATCATAGAATCATAGAATTTTACAGCACAGAAGGAGGTCATTTGGCACATCGTGTCTGTGCTGGCTCTTTGAAAAGAGCTATCCAATTCAGTCCCACTCCCCCACTCTCTCCCCATAGCCCTGAAAGCATGTCCTCCCCAAATAATTATCTACTTCTCTCTTAAAAGTTGTTTTCGTATCGGCTTCCACCACACTTTCAGTTAATGCATTCCAGATCCAAACAACTCACTGTGTGAAAACATTTCTCCTCACCCCTCCCTTCTGTTTCTTTCAACAACTATTTAAATCGGTGGCCTCGGGTCATCGACTCACCCACCAGTGCAAATAGTTTCTCCTTGTTCACCCTATAAAATCCCTTCATAATTTTGAAAACTTATATTAATTCTCCTCTTAACCTCCTCTGATCCAAGGAGAATAATCCTAGCTTCTCTAGCCTCTCCTGATAACTGAAGTTCCTGGTACCATCCTGGTAAATTTCCTTTGCACCCTCTCCAATGCTTTGATATCCTTCCTAAAGTGTGGGGCCCAGAACTGAACACAGTACTCCAGCTGAGGCCTAACCAGTTTTATAAAGGTTCATCATAACTTCCTGACTTTTGTATCCTATGGCCCAATTTATAAAGCCTGGTATCCTGTAACAGCTTTATCTACCTGTCCTGCCACCTTCAAAGATTTACTTATATGAAGCCCCAGGTCTCTCTGTTCCTTCATCCACTTTAAGATTGTACCATCAGCTTATATTGCCTCTCCTCAATCTTCCTCCCAATGCATCACTTCGCATTTCTCCACATTAACCTCCATCTGCCACATGTCTGCCTATTTTACCAGTCTGTCTATGTCCTCTTGCAGTCTGCTACTATTCTCCTCACTGTTTACTACTTTTCAGAGCTTAGTATCATCAGCAAACTTGCAAATTGTACTCCCTATACCCAAGTCCAGGTCATTTATATACATTAAAAACAGTAGTGGTCCCAATACTGATCCTGGAGGACACCACTGCATACTTTCCTTCAGTCAGAAAAACAACTATTTACCACCACTCTGCTTTCTGTCTCCCAGTCAGTTCTGTATCCATGCTGCCACTGTCCCTTTAATACCATGGGTTTTTCTATTTTGCTTACAAGTCTCCTATGTGCCACTTTATCAAACCCTTTTTGACAATCCATATAAACTACACCAACTGCACTACCTTCATCCAACCTCTCCGTTACTTATCAGAGGAACGTGTCCTTCCCCAATTCCAATTAGAGCTGCAACAGACAGTGCCTTAACTCACTGAGATATCAGAGGAGCTACCTCCTTTCAATTACTCCAAAGATGCTACCACCACATCTATAATTAAACAGTGTTAATTACCCTTCCTCATCCTCCTGCAGTATGTACCGCTCATGAACGGGAACATGTTCATATCTATCAAATCTAGAACTTCATTACATTAACAAACCATGGGCATTTCATGATCAACTAATCCATTTCTTTTTGTTCCCATTTTGCAACAATCAGACTCACTTGGCATTTTTGCCATCTCGTGACCACTTCTTGATCTGGGAGAGTTTGTTGATGAGAAAGATTCCTCTTCCTTGAGCCTTTCCACAAGGTTTCATAATCCAGGTGCTAGATGGGTACTTCCTGAATTCTTCAACAAACATGTTATAGTCTGCCGGCAGCAGTAGGGTAACTGGGACAAAATCTTTTTTTTAAGAAAAAAAGAGCAGAATGGATGTTTAATGAGAGCAATTTATGTAAACTTCAGCTTATTGTAAACTGCAGCTGCAGACTCAAATAAAAATGTAACTTGTAGGTAATGAGCGATTATGGCTCCAGTAGTCATTGCACTTGTTACTCGAGTACAGTGTTATTAGAAATACTGAGGATCTTCCCTTCTTGCTCCTTTTGGCCCAGACTTGGCATAACTAATAAAGCCAGAACAACTAACAGATTGTGGAGTCCGGTGGGTTACGCACTCACATCACAAGAGAGAGAAGACCCGTGTTCAATTCTCAGCAGGGCAATACTTTAGACAAGTTTCCTTATTCGCCTCTGTTTACCTAGCAATAAGTAGGAACCCAGTTGTTAGTTGACTAGTGGATCGCTTTCCGGGGGTATTAAACCCTTCCAAAAAAAATTTGGTCAAACAATCCACGACTTTTTGTGGGACACTGATGTTTTGAATTGGCTGCCTTGTTTTGCTCACAAAGTCAAGCCAATTTACAATATGTCTGAAAGCGCTTTGAGAAGTTTTGACGACGTGATAAGGCGCTATATCAAATGCAAGGATTATTATTATTATTAAATTACACATTAGTTTGGAGCACATTCAGTTATAATATAATAATAATCCTTGCATTTGATAGAGCGCTTTTCACGTTGGGAGGATGTCCCAAAGCGCTTCACAGAACACATTGTAAAGTGAATTGACTGTATATTTGTGGGCGAACGCGGCAGCCAATTGCGCACAGCAATGTCCCACAAACAGTCATAGATTGAAAATGACCAATTTTATTATTGTTTTTGGTTTTGGAGGGATTATTTGATTATATGAGTTCTCACTCACCACTAGATGGAGAACTTCCCTTTAGGATGAAAAAGACATTCTTTTTCAATCACAACCATTCAGTGCTTTTCTTTCAGAGAATTTCTGGAATACCATTAAAATGCACTGATACTTTTCATTCATTAAAATGGTCAATTCCAAAATCTTTGTAATGCTCAGGTCAACTCCAAAATGAGATTTCAACAACAACTTACATTTATGTAATGCCCTTCATTTTGAATAACACATAGGGTAATAATCAGAAAATAGCACAATCTGTACACTACTATTGTACGTTTAGTGAATTATAACCATGAATACATAATATTAGTTTGCCACTGTATCCCCAACACTTCTTGGATGTACAAGGAAGCTGTGAGTTCAGTGAATTGAGATCATGTACATAATATTTGACTACTATGTCCCCAATAGCTGTGAGAAGTAAAAGACAGGTACCTAGGCTAATATATCTGCCTTTTTCATCTTTTTCTGCTAAAGGATTTCCCTCCTTCTCAAGCTCTTTACGATAACGCTTTATGTTCTTAACCATAAGGTCCTTCCTGGTCAACTCATAGTGGTTGGGAAAATGATTCACTTTCTGATTATCTGAAAGACGGATACCATTTTCAGCACCGAAGGTACTTCGGATGGTCTGTATATTCATCCTGCATAGCACAAGTAAAACCAGAAAAAGTATCAAATCAACTTAATTTCCATTTACAAGTACTACATATATCGAAAGGATAATATGCTTGTTAACCAAAAAACCTGCAAGAGCAAAATGTAGTCAAAGCTTTGTTTGCTTGGATTTAGGGCTTACTTGGATTTAGGGTTTACTTGGATTTAGGGTGATGCCTGGAACCTCAGTACAATACATCCAATGAAGTTATGCAATTGTAACCCGATTGCTTACATGAATTGCACGCATTAAAGATCCATTCAACCCTTATTTAAGAGAAATAAATAGCACAGAAAATGAATACAAGTGGCCTTCAATCTAGCCCAGACTGGTGAGGTTTAGGTCTTCTCTACCTACTGTCAAGGGATGCGAAATTAATTTTACATGTCTCAATCCAAAGTAAATCCACAACAAACAAGTGCTTCAAATGTATTTCTCTGGTTCGGGTTAGAACCAGATATATTGCACGTATGTAGCACCCTTTACACAGGGTGCATCTCAGAGTACTTAAGCACATTGGTGCAGAAAAGTGTGCTCTTGGTGTTTGCGTTAAGGCACATTTTGAGGCAAAGTTGAGGAGGTTGAACTTTGCACCTGGCCTTGATTTTGCAGTGATATTTACAATGCAATTTTCAAAACGTAAAATGGGCTGTTAGATAATTCATGCAGGCCTACTTTTGTAATCTGCTGAGTACTGTTCTTGTCACAGTGAAGAAAATTAACATTTTACAGAAGTGTTAAACCTTAACTTGAAAAATATAATGCTCCTTACAAAGATTTCTTGCGAAAGATATAATGAATGCTCTATATCTCTATGAATATTTCATGTGTTTTTAAAGAACAGAAAAAGTGACATTACATTAATTGTCTTTATTTAATCTACACTGGATAAATTTCAGCTTGGCTCAGTTGGTAGCATTCTTGCCTCTGAGTCAGAAGATTGTAGATCGAAACCCCGTGTCGGGGCTTTAAGCTCTCATAGACTGATACTCCAATGCAGTGCTGGGCAAGCGCTGCATTGTTGGGAGATGCTGTCCTTCAGATGAGGCATTAAACCGAGGTCCTGTCTGTCTGTTCAGGTGGATGTTAAAGATCCCATGGCACCTTTCAAAAGAAATGGAGTGTCTCTTAGCGTCCTGGCCAACAATCCCTCAAATAAAAAAATGATTAAAAAATGGGATATTGCTGTGTACAAATTGTCTGTTGCGTTTGACTACAAAATACACAGTCACTATATTGTAAAATCTGATGAAGTTCTTTGAGATCTTCTTTTGAAATGAAAGGTGCTATAACAAATGCAAGAGTTATTATTATTAATTATAATGCCAGATACATCTGTGTATTTATTGTAAAATAATTTACTCACCAATAAAAATTCCAGTCTTCATTTTCAGATACCTCAATCCAGCCTCTTTTTTCCAAGTTATTCCAAAGCACTGACTTGTGAATGTCTGTCACCCATTTCACTTTCACTGCCATGATCTTCCTGAAATATGGAAAGTCCTACAAATCCAGTTAGTGCCTGCGAAGAAATCTAGTATGCTGCATTCATAGTCTAAACCCAAGGATACACTGAAAATCTGCTTTCATCTGATCAATTTAAATACAAAAAGGATTCAGGGTCTTAAATTCCTGTTTGTAGTATTGAGAGTGGATCTAACAGAAGTGTTCAAAATAACCAGAAGCTAAATAGTGATAGCTATTTAGATATTGACAACAATAGTGGATGAAGGTAGTGCAGTTGATGTAGTTTATATGGACTTTCAAAAGGCATTTGACAAAATGCCACATAAAAGACTTGTAAGAAAAATAAAAGCCCATGGTATAAAAGGGACAGTGGTAACATGGATCCAGAACTGGCAGGGAGACAAAAGCAGAGAGTTGTGGTGGACGGTTGCTTTACTGACTGGAGAGAAGCGAACAGTGGCGTTCCCCAGGGATCGGTATTGGCACCACTGCTCTTCTTAATATATATAAATGATCTGAACTTGGGTATAGCAAGTTTGAGGACGATACAAAGTTAGATAGGGTAGTAAACAGTGAGAAGGATAGTAGCCAACTGCAAGAAGACATAGACAGAATGGTAAAATGGGCAGACACATGGCAGATGAATTTCAATGTGGAGAAATGCGAGGTAATGCATTTTGGAAGAAAGAATGAGGGGAGGCAATATAGGCTGGTAGTAAAATCTTAAGTGGGGGTGAAGGAACGGAGAGACCCTGGGGTACAAGTAAATGAATTCTTGAAGGTGGAAGGACAGGTAGATAAAGCTATAAAAAGGGCATAGAGTACAAGAGTCAGGAGGTTATGATTAACCTATATAAAACACTGGTTAGGCCTCAGTTAGAATACTGCGCCCAATTCTGGGCACCACACTATAGGAAGGATGTTAAGGCATTGGAAAGGGTGCAGAGGAGATTTACAAGGATCGTACCAGGAATGAGGGACCTTGATTATGAGGAAAGGCTAGAGAGGCTGGGATTATTCTCATTGGAGCAGAGAAGGTTACGAGGAGACCTAATAGAGGTTTTCAAAATCATGAGGGGATTTAATAGGTTAGAAAGGGAAAAACTGTTTCCACTGGTGGGTGTATCGGTGACTCGAGGTCACAGATTTAAAATAGTCTCTAAAAGAAGCAGAGGGGAGGTGAGAAGAATTTTTTTCACACAGCGAGTTGTTCGAATCTAGAACGCATTGCCTGAAAGGGTGGTCGAGGCCGATTCGATAACTACTTTTAAAAACGTGGTGGACGGGTATTTGAGGAGGATGGGTTTGCAGGTTTATGGGGAAAGGGCTGGGGAGTGGGATTGACGCTACATTGCTCTTTTCAAAGAGCCAGTACAGACTCGATGGGCCGAACGGCCTCTTCTTGTGCTGTACGATTCTATGATTCTATGATTCTATGAATAGCCTTCAACTCAAGATTATGATTGGAAGCCTAAAGGGGAAAGTTAGAAGAAACATTTTTACGGTTATTGGAATGTTCAGTATGTTACTGTGAGTGGCTATGAAATCATGTCATTTACTGAATTCAAATGAAAAAACAAAAGTCAAAAATATAAAACTCTACAAAGGATAAGCAGAGGAACAGGACTGGACCGGAAAGGTCCATGGAGAACCTAGCACTGTAGGGGCTCTTAGGGTTTCTTCCTGCTGTAATAAAATCTCTCGATTTCTATGGTGTAATATCTGTTCACTGCACTAGCATTTTAAATCTGAGAAAACAGGTAACAAGCAAATTACCTATTACATTCAAATTACATTATTTTGGCATGTGACTGCCCAACTGGGCTATCCTAATCCAAATTACATTTTTACCATCTGCCAACATTGCCACTTCATCTCACTCACTTGCTGAAGTTCAAATAACTAAAAGGACTTAAGACTTGTTTTTTGCATTTCAGAGCGAGCAAATTTTGGACAATACTTAATTTTGACATGGGTTTTCTGTAAGTTATTCTAAGAAGAATAGAAAAATAGCTTTAAAAAAAAAGACGGAAAGTCTAGATTCAGGTGGAATTTCTCCCACATAACTTTGCAACAAGGACATCTACAGAGCGGTTTAAATGACTTTAAATGTGGCATCTTTGTTGAGCTACAGTAAGATCTTCAGCAGAACAGCGCTGGGAGTTTCATTTTTTTGCACAGGTTGGATTCAGGAAGGCAGGATTTAAACAGACAAGGGAGTGCCTTTTCGGGCTTAAGCTGGTGTCTTTCTTCTGCACCATTGACACAGTTAGGCGGAATAGTCAAAGAAACATTCCGAATGCAATGTGCAGGTTTTGTGTTGTAATGACAGAGCTCTGTGCATTAATTCCGTGCCTCTTTGCTCCAATTTACCCAGTCCTTTGAATCCTAGATAGGCTGTAGCAACAAAAAAATGCAATAAACACCCATTGTAAGTCTTACCTGGGGTTTGACCAAGCACCTTTCCAGTAAACCGTTTATACTGGCTGTGGCGTTTACTTTCACACCTGCACCAGTTCCTTAGCAACTGAACTGCCCAGCCTGGGACTCCCAGCCTCTCAGTGCTGTGAGTCTGAGTCATACATCCATTTGATTAAAACACTGGACAGTTTGCATTGCAACACTGATGGCTTTAGTTTTCTTCTAAAAAAAACAATTTCTCTCTTACCTGTGACTTCTTTTTGTGAAAAAATAACCTTTCTAGCATCTATTTAAGTAGCAGTAAGTAGGAACCCAGTTGTTAGTCGATTGGCAAGTCACTTTCCGGGGGTAATCATCAATACGAACAAATGTGGGCGCTCAATTCCCCCCTGGTAGGATACTGTTGTGTGCAAATGGCTGCCATGTTTCACCACATTATACACAATCAATCCACTTTACAATATATTCTGTGAAGCTCTTTGGGACATCTCAATGACATGATAAAGCGCTATATCGAATGCAAGGATTATAATTATTTTACGTAAGCAAAAATGTTTTGACATATCTCCTTTACACCTGAACTAATTTCTACCCATTTTAAATTTATAGTCAACTGATGAAAAATATATATTTGTGTTGCAATGATTTGACTTGTGAATGGCTTCTGAAAGCATTCTACTTCGCTGACTGACATATCCATTCCAGTTCTGTTTCAGTCCCAAGAATTGGGTTTACCAATTGAGCAGCGAGATCCTAATATGTTTTCGAGCCAATGAGAAATGAGAAGATGAGAGGTAAAAGAAACATGCTACCACAAACATAATTGTAAACTTCATCAATGTCTAGTGAGTAAAATATTTGTAGAAGAAATTTGGTAGCAACAGACTGAACATTTACCAAACTCTGGGCACGGAGAGTGCACCTGTTGTTTTTGTACTGGAAGAAACACCATGCAAAAGCAACTCAAATGTTGCTCTGTTTATTCAGTAGAAATCATCTAACAGGGCAAGTCTTTCCTCTGCTGTTAGTATTTGTGAAGCTGTGATTGCATCAATATTCTTGGGCTCACTTTAGCTTCAGAGTAGCTCTGCTGTTTCCCAGCAATATATAAAGCAACAAACAATGAAACACGTTGATATCTTTTTGGCACCCTTCAACATGCAAGGGCAGTGTAATTAGATCCAGACCATTGATCAGAGACCACAAATCTCAATGTCTGTTGAATGTTGTATTTGTTTATACTACTGCTCCCCAAGTAGTTCTCAATACCAGCTGCCATTTCCACTATGATTGAAAAAGCCCCATTTTGTGCAGAGTGGTTTCCACAGCAGTCTGATCTAGCAATATTTTGTTGATGCTAGTATCATTGCGAAATAGATAGGGAAGGACTGTACAGGCCAACAATAGCCTATAATAATAATAATCCTTGCATTTGATATAGTGCCTTATCACATGGTTGAAACGTCTCAGAGCGCTTCACAGAATATACTGTAAAGTGAATTGACTGTATATTTTGTGGGAAAAGTGTGCCAGCAGTGACCCACAAACAGCCGTGGATTGAGTGACCAATTTATTACTTTTATTTTTTTTGAAGGGATTATTACACCCAATAATCAACTAACAATTGGGTTCCTACGTACTGCTAGGTAAACAGAGGCATGTGGAGTAAGGAAACTTGTCTAACGTTTCGCCCTGCCCAGGTGGTCTCTCTTGCGAGGCGAGTGCTCTAATCAATATGCTACGGGACTCCACAAAATAGCTATAGCACTTTACTGAAACGCAAAGATAAGCATGAGAGTTTCTGCTGCTGCTCCATCAGCTTGTTGCCAAACACATGCCACCTCCAGCACCTGAAATTGGAACCACCGAATCAGACAGAAATTTACAACACAGAAGAAGGCTGTACAGCCCTTTGGGTCTGTGCTGGCTCCTTTAAGAGCAATCTTTTCAGTCCCATTTACCTGCTCTTTCTCCATAACCCTAGAATTGAGTCCTTTTCAGTGTTTTTAGTATTTATCTAGTAATTCTACTTCAGACCTAGCTTGTCAATCTACTTTGTTTTAATGATTATATTGGTATAAAATTGTGTAAAATTCTTAAATTCAGTCTTAACTTGGCACGGGTTCAGCTGTTAAAAAGAACCGGTTTCCAAATTCTGACAAGAATTTAAGAAATTTTCACAACTCTTAAATTTGAAGACAAAATGGTTTCACACAAGGTGATTTGGGGGTCATAGACGCACATTCTGAAACCTCCTTTCAGTCATGCTCTCTGCTTGGTGAGACACCAATGATAGTTAATTTGCATTGCTGATTATCTACTGACTTCAGAGCTGTGGCCTGGTAATAAACTGGCAATGTAAATATTTAAATGGAGCTTTCATAAATCAATCTGAATTGTTCACTGTGGGGAATAAATGAGAGACACTGATAGCAATAGCTGAGAGAAAAGTCAGGCTTTTATCCTAAACTAGAAGCGTCAACATTGCTGCTCACCCTCTGCTGATGGGCAAATGGTGCGTTTCCAAGAGAAGTCGAACAGTAACAGGGGAGAAGTGAGACAGATGGGTGTAACTCAGTTATCTTGTCCTGTAGCTCAGTGGTTAGAGCACTCGCTTTGCAAGTGAGAGACCTGAGTTCAATTCCAGGCAGGGCGAAACCTTGGGCAAGTTTCCTTACTCCACACAGAGCCTAATAATAATCCCTCCAAAACTAAAAACAATAATTAAATTGGTCATTTTCAATCTACGACTGTTTGTGGGACATTGCTGTGCGCAATTGGCTGCCGCGTTCGCCCACAAATATACAGTCAATTCACCTTACAGTGTGTTCTGTGAAGCGCTTTGGGACGTCCTCCCGACGTGAAAAGCGCTATATCAAATGCAAGGATTATTATATTATTATTATTATTATCTTCTTAATGCTAATATAATAATAATAATCCTTGCATTTGATATAGGGCCTTATCAAGTCATTGAGACGTCTCAAAGCGCTTCACAGAATATACTGCAAAGTAAATTGATTTTAATTTGGGGCGCAACGTGGCAGCCAATTGTCCCAGAAACGATCGTTGACTGAGTGACCAAAATATTATTATTGTTTTGAAGGGTTTATCGCAGAAAACGATCTGTCAACCGACTAACAACCAGGTTCGTACTGACTGCCAGATAAACAGAGGTGCGCAGACTAAGCAAACCTGGCTAAAGTTTTACCCTGCGCGGGAATCAAACCGGGGACGGGGCGGCGGTCTTCATCTTCCTCGCAAGGTGAGCGCTTTAACCTCATACGCTCAATATGTGGGGTCCTGTAGCTGAGTGGTTGGAGCACTCACTGGAGCATTGCACACTATCAGCAATGCTAAAGTGGGAGGGATTTGCTGCATTGAAGGCTTTCCAACTGCAGATCTGACATCACTATCAGCATAAGGTGCAGGAACAGCCCTCAAGGGAACAGTCTGACTGAGAGTGACGCTGCTGTGAGTACCGCACATCTCTCTCTCCTCTCTCTCTCTCTCTCTCTCTCGTTATGTAGCAAAATAAATCCATCGCTAATGGCCGATTGGGATCTAATCCTCTACATTTGTGTTGTTGTTTTCCAGGGCGGCTGTCGCTATCTCCAGGAAATATATACATATATATATATATATATAAAACACAGGTAGGAATTCCCTGCGGGTTTTACAGCACCAGCTGTTCAAATGCAACCAGTCTGGTGTGTGTGAGGGTGTGTGTGTGAGGGTGTGTGTGTGAGGGTGTGTGTGAGGGTGTGTGTGAGGGTGTGTGTGTGTGTGAGGGTGTGTGTGTGAGGGTGTGTGTGAGGGTGTGGGTGTGTGTGAGGGTGTGTGTGTGTGAGGGTGTGTGTGTGTGTGAGGGTGTGTGTGTGAGGGTGTGTGTGAGGGTGTGGGTGTGTGTGAGGGTGTGTGTGTGTGAGGGTGTGTGTGTGTGAGGGTGTGTGAGTGAAGTTGTGTGTGTGTGTGTGTGTGTGTGTGAGGGTGTGTGTGTGAGGGTGTGGGTGTGTGTGAGGGTGTGTGTGTGTGAGGGTGTGTGTGAGGGTGTGTGAGTGAAGTTGTGTGTGTGTGTGTGTGTGTGTGTGAGGGTGTGTGTGAGGGTGTGTGTGTGTGAGGGTGTGTGTGTGTGAGGGTGTGTGTGTGTGAGGGGTGTGTGTGTGTGTGAGGGTGTGTGTGTGTGTGTGAGGGTGTGTGTGTGAGGGTGTGTGAGTGAAGTTGTGTGTGTGTGTGTGTGTGAGGGTGTGTGTGAGGGTGTGGGTGTGTGTGAGGGTGTGGGTGTGTGTGAGGGTGTGGGTGTGTGTGAGGGTGTGTGTGTGAGGGTGTGTGTGAGGGTGTGGGTGTGTGTGAGGGTGTGTGTGTGTGAGGGTGTGTGTGTGTGTGTGTGAGGGTGTGTGTGAGGGTGTGTGTGTGAGGGTGTGTGTGTGTGAGGGTGTGTGTGTGTGAGAGGATGATGTACCTTTCTGCTGTGGCTTTCTTTGCACTGTGATGTGATCGTCGATGAAACAAAGACAACATGTCTTGTTTTTTGGGGGGAGGGGGGAGGGGGGAGGTTGGGGTTTGCAGGTTTCTCATCCAGGTGTGAATGTTGGGAGGTGACAGTGGTGGGAACTCATGATTTCCCTCCTTTTCCCAGAGAGCAGTTTCACTCCCCACTTCACCTCTTACTTCCTTATCTGTCAGTTCCAGTCCAGGGAATTTGCAGGAAAATGTTGTTGTTGTTGTGAGTTGGGGCTGCAGTTGATCAACGTTGCATTTATTTATTCATAAGTCAAATGTATCCAAATTTGACAGCCTCCCACCCAAAACTCGTGCCAAAAAAGAGTATGGTGATAAATAACAAGTACGCGAGAGGGAAACACCCAAGTTGCAATGTAGTTTTTGTGGATTTGTGCTTTTCTGGTGAGGGAGGGACTTCTCTCCACATGGCTGCAAAACCAACATGATTTGTATATCAGCTTTGCCTAAAGACCTTTGCTGTTGTTATTATGGCAACATGGTCAAAACAGCCCCAACACTTGCTCTCCCGCGCTCCCACATTTTGGAAGAGTGGTCAGACATACAGCGAGGCTCCCAGTGGCTATCAGAATAGTAGCAGTGGATGGCTTCAGAGCAGAGGGGTTTGGGGAGATACGGCAGGAGATTGCAACGTAACGACCACTTGGCCAGAGACAATGAAAGGTGCCTCAGATCCATCTTCAAGTCAGACACATACAAAATTACGTTTGTATAACACCTTTCAGGTCGGGAGGATATAATGAGGCATTCAGTGCTAAAAATGAGCCAAAGGGATTTCTTCATCTCGACCTATCTTGTGGTTTTAATTGTCTGAGGCCATTTACAAAACTGTTTTCAAAAGGGGAAGAAGGGGAATCTATATCAGAGCAAACAAGAGGATCTGGGTTCGATTGCCAGGCAGGGCGAAACCTGAAGCACTTTTCCTTATTCCACATGCCTCTGTTTATCTAGCAGTAAGTCATCGATCCGTAATAAAAAGCTGTGACGTTTTGAGATATCTCTACAACGTGAAAGGCTATATCAAATGAAAGGATTATTATTATTATTCATGGAGTCCTGCAGCTCAGTGGTTGTAGCACTCGCCTCGAAAGCAAAAAGACTTTGTTCGATTCCAGGGCAGGGTGAAATGTTGGGCACGTTTCCTTACACCACATGCCTCTGTTTACCTAGCAGTATGTAGGAACCCAGCTGTTAGTTGATTAGCGGATTGCTTTTCCGTGAGTGATAATCCCTTCAAAAAAATAATAATTGCTGTGCGTAATTCGCTGCTGCGCTTCACACGCAAGATATACAGTAAATTCACTTTAGAGTATATTCTGTGAAGCGCGTTGAGACGTCTTGAAGACGATAAAAGGCGCTATATCAAATGCAAGGCTTATTTTTTATATTATTTATTATTATATCCTAAGGTAGTTTATTGAATAATTATAATGCTTCCGAATAAGGGCTTAATTTCTTCTCATTCTGCCTATCTCACAAAATGATTTTTCTGTTCCTGTTAAAATTAACATCCAACAATGTCCCCCACATCCAGCCCCTGTGGCCCAGCAGAAATCTTGTGAGAATGGGCCTCTGCTTGGTGCCCATGTCTCCTGGGGAAATAAAGCACCTTGAGAATCATGGTTATGAACCTGCATCGCTCACTACATGTATGATCCAATACCAGAGAACTTCAGTGCACTGTGCTCCACCTCTTCCTTTCACCTCCAAAAATGAAACCTTTGATGTTTTCTCAATTATTTAGGATGCATTTCTGGAGTAAGGCGCTGCGTCACATTTGATGTTTCTTATCAATGTCTCCACTCCAGAAGGTGGTGACTCAGGCTTCATGTATAGCTTCACTAGCGCTGGCAGTTTTCTAGTGCCTTATCCATTCTTCATGTCTGAGTCTCAAGAAATAAAGTATTGCCACTCTGTGCACCAAAGGAGGACAGCCCAATGGACCCTGATGCACAATGAATGTCCACAGACACTTTCTAAGTAAGAGTCACTGTATAACAGTAGGAGCACTGGTCTGTGATGCTGAGGCCAATTATCACGTCCACATAAAGTCTCCAGTTGAGATCAGTCCCTCATGCTCATGTTATTGATGTTACATCACTCATGATCTCATGCTGCTTCAGTATCACCAACTAGATTATGTCAGCCTCAGTTTCATCCATATCGTGCTGCAGCACTTGTTTACAGGAACTTTCCTGTTATGTCAGTCAAATGTGTTGGAGTAGTGATTATCGCGTCCCCCAACTAGACATGACATAATGTCTATGGCTTGGCCACCACGGTGGGTGGGTCTCAATGGTGCTGCTACGTCGAGTCCCTTCTGTGGCTGTTCTAGACTGATAGCACTTTAAGCGATGTAATATTGATGTTATCTGTCACGATGAAAAAAAATGACTCTTGAGGCATGGAGCACATTTCTACACTTGATGAAATTTAAAAACAGTCCATCCATAGATGATCCGTTTCCCCTTTTAACAGGAGCACTGAAATACCATGGCAACTTGGAGCAGTTGTGACCCGTGCAGGTCATGTTCACCACATGAAGAGAAGAGCAGCGAAGCAGACGCAGGTTTGTTTCTATTTACTGTAAACAGCAGCTTCTCTGATGACACAATGCTTATACTAATGTGGCACTGAGCTGTGCAGACCGAAAAGCTACAGGTTTGAGTGGTGAGTAAGCTGACCTGAGACGAGGGCAGCAGTTGTGAAGCTATTGCTGTATTCCTGGCAGGAGAGGAAATCAGCTTGGGTTCCTACTTCAGGTTGCTTGTGTATGGATTTCAGTCATACAATCAGGTTCAACTATGATGACACCACAGACAAACTAATACTCGCAGGCGTTCACTGTGGAGGGTGACATGAATAATCCCTCCCCGCCCCATGTGAATGGCTACAAAATTTTGAATTACACAAAAAAACTGAATTCATTCATGACTTTAGCTACAAATATTTAAATTTCAAGACCCATCCCAAGAAAGAAAACAATTGTATCCCTGGTTATTTCCTAGCTTTACTGAGTAAGAGTATCTCAGCTTTACTGAGTTCAGGTACCAGTGCAGTCAGATACATTCATATGTACATCATTGATATTTATAATGTCTATCTGTTCAGGTGAACGTTAAAGATCCTATGATACTCTTTGAAAAGAAAAGCAAGTTTCTCCTGGTGTCCTGTCCAAGAATCCTCCAGATATTTAATCATTCACTTCATGGGTTTGTGGGATTGATGTTCTGCTCTGCGCAAATTAGCTGCTGTGTTTGCCCAACAAACACAGTCACTATACTTGACAGCAATTCCCTGTAACTTGAGATGATTTGATTTTATCAGCACTAGATCAGATGTGAAAATTATTGTTATTGAGTTGTGTAATTCAATAATAATAATAATTATCTGATCTCGTGCCGATAACGTCAAAACATATGGCAGAGTAATTTAGATGTTTAGTTATATGGATATGTAACAATTATTAGAATGGTATTGTAACAATACCATGAATCCCTTGTCCTCACAAATACAATTAATTGCTTTCAGAGAAAAAATCATCTCTCATGAAGGACAAAGGGTTCACGTAAATTTAATAATAATAATCTTTGCATTTGATATAGCGCTTTTCACATCTTAGAGACGTCTCAAAGTGCTTCACAGAATATGTTGTAAGGTGAATTGACTGTATATTTGTGGGCGAAACACGGCAGCCAATTGCACACAGCAGTGTCCCACAAACAGTTGTGGATTTTGACATGTAGTGTAATCTTCAGTTTCACACCAACATTGAAGTAATGAGAAATAAAAATCATGCACTACTGGATTTCATCCCAGTCAGTGGGTCACAGCTATCCACATGTGTGTACTTTACACAGGTACTAATTTTCAGTCAGTTTTCAAAAGGTCCGTATAATCCTTGCATTTAAGAGGTTCCAAAGCGGTGAGGGCGAAGAGATGAGCATGACACATTCCTTATGGCAGCCAGTCTAGGTCCTCACTGGAGCAGAGTGCATTGCAGGAAGTAACCTGTAAGGCAACAAATTAGAAACTTGTTGAACTTGCTAAATTATGTGAAAGCATCAATGTTTACACTCAGTAAATTGTGGAAATCTAACTGCAGTCGCCAGATGATAAATGAGCTCTAGATCTGAACAATCACATTCGGATAGATTATAGAAAACTGACGGTTACATTAATAGCCCTTTAAACACCAGTGTTTACTGTAATACAAGATGATGTGTTCATTAGGTAAGATCAGCGTATCCTTCGATATGCAAACACCCAGTTCTTCTACCCAGATTTGTTTAATATTTGTGTTTTATTTGGATTAATTGTTGAGCTATATTCTAAACAAAGGTAAATCTGTGGGTCAAGCAGTTTCAATATTATATTCTGCACCAATCATTGAGCCACTTACAAGCTCATCAGAAACCTTAGGCAAATTTCCTTACTCCACCAGTTTCTGTTTACCTAGAAGGAACCTGGTTAGTCGATTGGCGGATCGCTTACCGGAGGTAATAATCTCTTCATAAAAAAAATGTTCATTCAATCCACGACTGTTGTGCTGTGCACAATTGGCTGAAAGTACACAGTTGATCCACTTTACAATATGTGAAGCACTTTGAAACGTCTCAACGACTTGATAAGGCGCTATATGAAATGCACGGATAATTATTATCAGAAAACACCCAGGTGCCAACTGCATGTAAACAGGTGTCATACGGTCCAAGATTGCAAATATAAATTTACTGCATGTCATCTTAATCCCACTGCAGAATGGCTCGTGTGGTTGCACTTTTATTGGTAGAGGAAAAGTTAGCTGGTGTTTTTACCTTACAAGCAACAAATTCTTGCCTGTTACCAAGCCAACAGTTCAGTGTGCAACTCAGGTGGTTCTGAGACACCTCTCAGCAGCCAGAGCTTAACAAAGCTGTCAGGGCTTGTCTTGTCTGGGAAATGGTGGCTGGCACGATGTGTAAAAAGTGAGTGGAGGGGGAGTGATAAAACAGCACAAAACAATACAAAGGACAAGACCGGTTATAGAAAATATCATTCAACAGATCACTCAGAAAGGCAGCTGGCACAAGGCCATATAATTCACCTGTTCATGTGTGGGCCCAGCAGCTTGCAAACTTATATTCAGTGCTGGGAGGTTTCTTTGCTTATTTAGCAAGCAAATCCTCGACTCTTAGGGAGTAAAATTTGTTATCTCGTTATTTAAGCGCAATATGTGAAAAGCCTTCCCCACCCCTACCCCCACCACACACCCACACAGTGAAACCACTGATGTTTTGACCCAGCAGTGGGGTGACCCTGTGCATTGAGGTGGCTGTTACTCTGCACGTCAACAAACCATTTCCACGAGAACCTGCTGATGAATTATGTTATGTCCGCTGGACCTTCAAGGCACCGTGTGCATCTGCTTTCATTTGCATTGGTATTCAGACAGGTTCGGAATCGGAACAGCCAATCTTTGTTCCATGAAAATGTACACAATTGATTCTATGTATGAAATATAGATTTGTAGACGATAAGATTATCTATACTAATAAAACGACAATGTCTGTCTGTGTGTGTCAGTGTATCTGACAATCACCAATAACCGATTGACGTAGAAACATGATTTATACCTCATCGGAAAGGGCTTGTAACTGGCAATGTCATGGGCGTATTTTTTGGGGGAATCTCCTATCGTTGATGAGCTACATTAAAAAATGCTTTACTTAAGCCCCATAATATGAGGTATGCATCATATTCTGCAACTATGTAATGACAGAGGAAAGCACACAGGATTCAGAGAGATACATCTATATTCTGCAACAAGTTTATAGCACTTTTTTCTGGTTGTCATGGGAGCTAGAGTCAGAGATACACTGAGGGAGACAAAGAGGGAGACTGAGATAGTAAGAGAGACTGGGAGAGACAGAGAGAGAATATATTATAAAGTGTAGTGACTGTGTGTTTTGTAGGAGAGATAGAGAAAGACTGAGAGAGAGAGAGAGAGAGAGACTTGGATAGTGAGAGAGACTGAGATAATGAGAAAGACTGAGATAGTGAGAAAGACAGAGAGAGAGAGAGACTTAGATAGTGAGAGAGGAACTGAGAGAGAGACAGAGAGAGACTGGGAGAGACAGACTGAGAGAGAGAGAGAGAGAGAGAGAGAATGAGATAGTGAGAGAGAGAGACTGACAGAGAGAGAGAATGGCATTTTTTGGGGGATCTCCTATCGTTGATGAGCTATGTAAAAAAATGCTTAATTGAGCCCCATAATATGAGGTATGCATCATATTCTGCAACTATGTAATGACGGAGGAAAGCACACACGGTTCAAAGAGCTACATCTATATTCTGCAACAATGGCTGAGGCAGGATCCATAATAACTTTCAAGAAGAAACAACAACAATAACTTGCATTTATATAGCACGCTTCACATGGGGTAGCGTCCTGGAGTGCTTAGATATATACACAAAGAGCGATAATCTGCAGGGCTATGGGGAAAAGGCAAGTAAACTGGGACTGACTGGATTGCTCTTTCAAGGATCTGCACAGACGTTTCTTCTGTGCTGTAAATCTCTATTGTTCTAAACTGAACGAAAAGGAGAATATACTTGAACTGCAATTGACAGATACGATTTGCGGGTGGGAGTTACTCTTACAATTGCTTTTCCTTCAACTTTTAAAACTTTGGGAAATCATTTGTGAGCGTAAAACGATTCAGTGGATTGCTTTGCAATGTGGTGGTAGCATTTAATGCTGTTTGTGTCATCTGGTCAATACTGCCTGGTAAATGTTTGCATATTTAAGTCTCGCTGAGAGCATTGTCTGAGGGCGGTTCAGTTGTCTGTGTGAGGGAAGTATTTACTCAACAGGTGTTTCAGACCTGTTGCCATGCAGTCCAGCCGATGCCTGCATTGTGCATTTTGGTTGTTTCGATCTTCTGCTGGTCTCCGGTGCATTCACAATGTGATGCATAAAACAACAAAGCTGCCAACTGACGAAAAGTGTCTCTGTCAGTGAAAGAAACGTGTGTCAGCATCAGAGAGCAGACCACAAAAAGTAGCTAAAGAGAAACGCACAAAAGTTCCTCTGCCTTGTCTGAGAATGAGGTCGAATTTGGTTGCAATTCCTGTTGCTTTAAAAGCTTAATAAGCCTCTGATGTGCCTGAAGTGCAGTGGTAGAACTCTCGCCTCTGATTCAAAAGATTGTGGGTTCAAGCCCCACGTCAGGACTTGGAATCACATAGTCTAAATTGATACTCCAATGCAATTCTGGGGATTGCTGCATTGTTGGAGGTGCTGTGCTTTGGATGAAATGTTCAACTGTAGGCTGTTCAGGTGGATGTTAAAGATCCCATGCCACTATTCGAAAAGAGAAAGGAGTTTCTTCCGGAGTCCTGGACAACAAATATCCCAAATAAAATAGGTTACTTACTCAGTGGCTGTTTCTGGGACACCGTTTTCCCAACAAAATACAGTCAATCCACTTCACAGTATATCCTGTGTAGCGCTTTCAAACGTCTCGACAATGTGACCAGGCATTACAACAAATGCAAGAATTATTATTAGTATTGATAGCTGCAGTTTCGGCTAAGAAAGGTTGCTTATGGAATCCTGTGACGTATTGGTTAGAGCACTCGTCTCGCAAATGAGAGGACCTGGGTTCGATTTCCAGGCAGTCAAATCTTAGGTAACTTTCCTTATTCTACCACCCTCTGTTTACCTAGTAAATAGGAACCTGGTTTTTACTCGATTGGCAGATTGCTCTTAGGGGTAATAATCCCTTAAAAACCTATATAATAATAATAATTTGGTAACTCAATCCAGGACTGTTTGTGGGACACTGCTGTGTGGAATTGGCTTCCCACAAAATACACAGTCAATTCGCTTTACAGTATATTCTGTGAAGTGCTTTGAGACGTCTCAAAGATGTGATAGGCGCTATATCAAATGCAAAGATTATTATTAATATTATTAGCTTTTCCACGCTATCTGAAGTTTCTGTTTAAAAAGAGCCCCAAGAATCACTGGAAAAGCAGAGTAACATCAGTCCTTCATAAGAAGCTTTTAAACATGACAGCTTTTCTCCTCACATTAAATCCACTCACAGTGGTATTTTCATCCGTCACCAACAGCAATACCTAACTCTAGGCCGACACTCTCTTTACCAGGCTGACACTCTAGTGCATTGCTGACTGGGGACTGTCAAAAGTCAAAGAACTGTCTTTCTGATGAGACGTGTAGGTGGACGTTAAAGATCCCATTAAAAGAGAAAAGGGACCAGAGTTTCTCTCTGTATGCTGGTCAACAACTTTAGTGAGGATAAATTGGTCATTCACTTCATGGCCTTTTCTGGGACTTTGCTTTGCTCAAAATGACTGCCGTATTTACTTACAAATACACAGTAACTATACTTGATACTGTACTCCCCAACTCCTCCCTTCATAAGCTGCAGATCATCCAGAACTCTGCAGCCCATGTCCTCTCCTGCACCAGGCTCCGTGACTCTTTCACCCCCATCCTCACCCGACTCCACCAGCTTCCCATCACACAGAGGATAGTTCAAGACCCTGAACTTCACCTTCAAAGCTCTCCAATGCCTTGTTCCCCCGACCAACCTGCCCGCTCCCTCCGTTCAGCGGGCTCCGGCCTGCTTCACATCCCTTGCCTCGCCCGCCCCACCGGGCCTTCAGCCACTTTGCCTCTACTCTCTGGAACTCCATCCTGCAGTCCCTGCACCACGTTCCCTCCCTTGCCTCCTTCAAGATCTGTTTCAAGATCCTCCTCTTCGACCGTGCGTTCGATCAACCTCCATGCCCATTTCATTTAACCACCGTACATTAAACTAAAGGCATATTGATGTAACAGAATAACTAAATGGGAAATAATTCTGCAATGGTCTGGTTTTCTGATGCTCTGGAATTTACCTTTTATCTTGTGGAGCTGATGTCATAACACCACCTGATGCACTTGCATTGTACACAGGCACAGTTGTTCACATATCATGGCTACAGTTTTACCTATTGAACCTGTCTCAGGGTTTAAGGGTGTCGGGAAACCTTGTTAGCCTGCATGGATGAACTAAGCATTTATTAAGGCAAACATGCAGGTGAGTGTTTTATTGCTTCTGCTGGTAGATGACCATCCGCATTTACCTGTGTCAGTGCTGCAAGGCTAATGCAGTGTACAAACATGTCAGGAGCAGAATTAGATTTCAGTAGGATTGAGGTAGAAATCAGGACTGAGGGTAATCAACAGCTGAAAAAGGGGAGTTAATGAGGCCAGGATGCTGGACTCATTCAAGAATCAACTTAGTGCTTTCATGGAAAGAGCTTTAATGGAAAAGCATTTGAAGCTTTAAAATTTTCTCTTGTAAACTTGTGAACCTGTGCTGTGCTGTTTTAAAAGAGAATGAAAATTATTTTCTTTTTCCGTCAAGTTTCAATCCCTGCTTCCCTCACTGTTGATCAATCATTATCTGGTTGACCCGACTGATGTAGTCACTACTTTACAGGTTTCCTCTGTTCTCCACAGGATGGGGCTCAGACTGACAGGTATTCATTGACGAGGTCAGAGTGTGAACGTGGATCGAGGCAGCAATTTAAAATAAGACTCAAAGAGGAGGAGGGTTGTCGTTATCAGGTTGCTGCCAAACAGGTTTTGCACCTCAGCGGTCTGTGACACAATGAGGTGGCAGTAAAGTGACAACAATGAAACTAATATGTAGCATAGAAAAAGGTTAACAAGGTCCATTGAAAGAACAAGAGAAGTGGATTAAAGATAATAATCACCGCAGCAATTGAGCATGCCAAATTTTTTAAATGAGAAACTTAAAAAGATAAATTTGCTGCAAGTTTGCATCTGTTACTGTGAGCTGATGCCTGGAGGGGATAATTATATTATGGAAACCTGTCCTATTTATTGTGTTCCGCTGTGCTCTTCGGTTTACTTAAAAGGATGGCAGATGAGAAATAAAGCGGAAACAGCAACATAACACACTGACCAGGCAGCGCACAAGTTCAATTTATTCCTTATCACTATTTCATGTATTATAGTAAAGTGTACATGGGTGGGAAAAAAAGTCTCCCCTGACACTCCTGTGCAGCACTGGACTATTAGAGGTATCATCCTTTGGATGAGACAGTAAACTAGTTCTATCTGTCTGTTCAGGTAGACATTAAATATCCTATGACATTATTTGAATAGAGAAGGTGGTTTGTCCCATTGTCTTGCCCATTGATCATTTATTTCGAAGTTGTTTGTGAGCCCTTACTGTTACAAAATGGCTGCTACATTTGCTTACAAAACCAGTCACTGTACTGTGGCAGTGATCATCTTATAAGGTGCTGTGAGATATGCTCGGTGCTCTATTAATGCAAGTATTATTATATCAAGCAAAGGCATGATTGAACTGGATTAATCTTCTCACTGAGACTCAATATATAGGCTCACACATGAATAGCCACGTGTGTCAACAGAATCTAGGTAAGCAAGAATTGAAATGGACTAACTCATTGTCTATGATTTTCTTTTTATTTACAAGTAGTTCAAGCTAATGAATTTCAGGCACAATAGTTATTTTTTGGTGGTGGTAGGTAGTGGGGTGTGGCATACAGAACTCAGAGATTTTGTGATAAAGCACTGCATGGTTTAACACAAGGCCTCATTGAGCAGTTTGTTTAAGGCTCTATTTCTGGTCAGTTAGGTGATCTCAGCCAGAACTGGACATAGGGAGAGGGCAGGACATAGCCGGAGAGCAGGATCAGGGTCAGGCATGATACCAACCACATCAAACATCTTGACGAAATTTGCTGCCAAGGTTCGCCCATGAATATCCTGTGGAACTGTTCCCATGTAGAAGGAAAAATACATCTAATATCTTAAGGAGAGGAAGAAAGTGAGGAAATTGGTGGCAGGAAAAAAATGGAAACTGAAAATGTCTCCTATTGTGGTGAATGGTTAGTGTAAATCAGTGGTACTGGAGGATAATCTCAGTGGCATAATAATAATAATCTTTCTATTTCTATTTGATACGGCGCCTTATCACGTCTTTGAGGCGTCGCAAAGCACTTCACAGAATATATTGTAAAGTGGCTTGACTATATTTTGTGGGGGAAATTCAGCAGCCAATTGTGCACAGCAGTGTCCCACAAACAGTCGTGGAATGAGTGACCATTTTTTTTTGGAGGGATTATCCCCAGAAAGCGATCCACCAATTGACTAACCACTGGGTTCCTACTTACTGCTAGGTAAACAGAGTAAGGAAACTTGCCAACAGTTTTGGCCCGCCTTGGGAATCGAACCTGGGTCCTCTCACTAGCGAGGTAATTGCACTAACCACTACGCTAAGGGACCCCACAAATGTTGGTTGCCAAAGGCACATAATAATAGTCCTTGCATTTGATATAGTGCCTTATTACCTCAAAGCGCTTAACATATACTGTAAAGTGTATTGACTGTATATTTTGTGGGCGAATTGCGGCAGCCAATTGCACACAGCAGTGTCCCACAAACAGTCATGGATTGAGTGACCTTTTTTTTGGTGGGATTACCACGGAAAGCAAATGATTATTTATTCAATTAAATTTTAGGGATTATTAATCCCAGAAAGCAATCCGCTAATCCGATTATTCTGGGGAAAAGATTCACCCCTTACCAGTATAGCCTCAATTTCTTTCTGGTATCAACCACCTCAGCAGAGGGAGGACTTTCTCAAGGTTTGTCTCTCGCCCCCAACCCCACTCCCTCCCCGCAATGCCAGTCCTAGTTGAGAAAAAAGATAAGAAAGGCATCTAACCGCTTGCTGCCCGGCCAAGAGAGGGAACAACACAAAGGCAAACATGTGGTGACTCCTTTGATGCTGAAGCATCTAACCTCGCCACACTTACCATTGATGGAGGGCAATGTCTCCAGAATCATCTTCCCTCACCTTCAGGAGCACAAAAAAAACATTGCCGAGTGTTGTGCTAGTTGCACAACAGTATAATATAATTAAGGTACAATCTGTTGTTCGTGGCAAGGCGCCATCAAGTAACTGCGTGAGAAATAGTCAGGGCCCACTAAATGACTTTGCCTTTATTTGTTTACTGTTCTTATCTGAATTGATGACTCTCCAGTCGGTTTACTTTCCACCCACAGAGCAGAACATGGTAAAAGAAGCAGAGGATGTCTTTCGGAATTATGTCTACCAGCGTTACCAAACTGAGGTAGAAGAGAGAGTACAGGATGGATTTGTAACACCGGCCATGCAAGAAATGACAGTCCAACAACAGTCTGGGCTCAGGTATGAGGAAACTAATATGATTCTGTTCCTGAACACAATCAGAAAGTGTGATGATTTGGGGGTTACATAAGGAGGAAGAGAATTAAGATTACGTGTCAAAGTAAGGCAAATACTGAATCATTTTTTCAAGTGGAACAGTAAAAGGTCTGAACAAAACAGATTTACAGTGGCACAAGTAATACTTGTAACAAGTAAGAGTAAAACAAAATTGATTACTCAGTCCAAGCCTGTGTTAAGTGTTCTCAGAAAACATACAACTAAATGAATGGTTACTCCATTAAATGTTATGTTTGTCAGACAGAAAAATCCAATTAGACTTTGTTCCAAACAAAACACTGCCGCAAGTAAAATATAGACAACCTTGTAAATGTTTAACATCATTAATATTTCACTGGGATCTGCATCACTTCTGATCCCATCCATTGTTTAAAGGCAGTAAATTGCTGTATCAATTCAAATTTTCAAGACTGAGGTCGATAGATTTTGTTAGGTAAGGGGATCAAGGGGTATGGAGCAAAGATGGGTAACTGGAGTTGAGGTATAGATCAACCATGATCCAATAATAATAATAATTGTTGCATTTGTTATAATTCCTTATCATGTCTTCGAGACGTCTCAATGCCCTTCACAGGATATACTGTAAAGTATACTGACTATTTGTGGGTGAAACTCGGCAGTCAATTCTGCACAGTAGTGTCCCACAAACAGTCATGGTTAGAGTGACACAATTTTTTTTTTTTGAAGGGATTATTATCCCCGGAAAGTGATCCACCAATTGACTAATAAGCGGGTTCCTATTTACTGCTAGGCTAACAGAGGCCTGTGGAGTAAGTAAACGTGCCTAACGTTTCTCCCTGCCCGGGAATCAAACCCAGGTCCTCTTGCTTGTGACACGAGTGCTCTAACCACTAAGCTACAGGAGTCCACATACAGGAACCTTGCCTGTGGACCCCCCTCCCCATTCATTCAGCCCACGCTGATGTTCTCATCAGTGGAAGCCTCCAGGGTTTTGGTGACCAGCACAGTGCCGATTGTGCGGTTCCTGTCTCTCAATAGAATGGTGGAACGGGCTTGAAGGGCTGAATGGCCTACTCTTGTTCCTATGTTCCTGTTAGCAGCTTCGAAATGTGACTCACACTTTTATAATGGGTAAAATTGTGGCATGTTTGCCACAATAGGTGGCAAATTATTGTTTGGGTCTCGGAACCTTCAAACATATCGAGCACGTTTGCCTGTGAATAAATGTGAAGCATTAAATGTTGCAAAACGATTTCGGATGAACAACAACAACAACAACAACAAGATTCCATTTATAAAGCACCTTTCACGTCAGGAGGACGTCCCAAGGCACTGCACTGTTGGGTCATGAAGTCCCTTCACCCCAATTGATCTCGTTCTACCAACTCTACAATGTTCCCAACACCGCATCAAACTATGTTGTTAAATTTCGCTGATTTCAAAGTTTGAACCCAGGTAATATTTCAGAAACCCAGACGCTCAAATGCGTCTCCAACTTTCAGTGAACTGCACTCCAGTTGCTTAACATCAACTACAGTGAGAGGTGGGAATTCTAGCCACTGGGAAATACGTACACTATTAAAGGATACCAGGAGAGGCTCTGAAATCAAAGGGTCTGGATCACTCGGATGTTTTTGTTGGTGGTGGAGGGGAGTAAGTTGTGTCTACGGAAGGAAACAGAATAGTCAAAGATAATACTCTCTTTTCTGTGTTTCCCTTGCCAGTTCCACAATGCAGATAGGGCGTCAGCTGGCTGTGATTGGAGATGAGATCAATCAGCGATACAAGTGGGAGTTTCGGAGTGTGCTGGCATGGAACGCACTCACACTTGAGAATATCTTCGAGTCCTTCTGCAGTGTTGCTGAAAGGTATGGTCTCAGCTCCTAATTTAGGCCATGTCTTCAGCAACACAAACCCAACAGCAGCCTCAGCTGTTGACATGTTCCATCCAGGTGCACAGCAACAAACAGCAACATTTATTTAGCATTCTGAATTCAATTTCTGATATTAAAGCTATTTTCCATATGACATGACTCTAGTTACCCTCCCATGGAATGGCTGTTTGTAGGAGTTTTCTGTAGTTAATATGACTGTTACGTTTACCTGCATAAAACAGTCACTACACTTGATGATACGGTCTGTAAAGTGCTTTGTGGTGTTTTGACGTAGAAGCTACACAGGCAAGCTCTTTGTATCTAAAGAAAGGGGCACTGAAGAAAAAACAAATCGAATAATCATAAAAATAAAAGAATTAAGGATTTAATTTAAAGGGTTCAGAGATCAGTTTGTTTCTGAAGCTTCTACCCGTTTGCTGACTGCAAGCGCTCAGTCAGATTTTTACAATTTTTCCCTTATTTTGGAAGCAAATTGTATTTAAAGATAAATACCTCAATTGTGTTTGAGGACATTTTTAAAGTGTGCAAATGCCAAAAGAACTGAATTCAGATTGGGAAGATATCATATGCAACATGAAACCAGAAGTACCAGGTGGAGCTCCGTATGTGAGTTCATAATTACTGTATACATTCTTTCTGTAAGAACATTAGGCAGTCTTGTTTTATCAAGCAGTGAAACTATTGAGCAATTGAGGCTGTTTACAAATAACAACTGCATTCCATATTAATAATGTAGAGTCCTGTAGCTCAGTGGTCAGAGCACTCGCCTCGCAAGCAGGAGACCTGGGTTCGATTTCCGGCAGTGAGAAACCTTGGACAAGTTTCCTTGCTCCACACGCCTGATAAGAGTCCCTCAAGAAAAAAACACGATAATAATTTGGTCATTCAATCCACGACTGTTTGTGGGACACTGCTGTGTGAAATTGGCTGCCATGTTTCACTTTACAGTATATTCTGTGAAGTCCTTTCAGATGTCTAGAAGATATGAAAATCGCTATATCAAATGCAAGGATTATCATTATTATTATTATAATGTACGCTCATTAACTTTGACATGCTAAAGTTATTTATGAATTTTGTACCTCGCAGGCTGTTTGATGCTGGGATCAACTGGGGCCAAATCATTGCTCTGCTGAGTTTTGGCTACAGGATGTCAATTTACATCCATCAGAGAGGAATCTTGGGATTTTTTGGCAGAATTGCAAAGTATGTCGCAAAGTTTATTTGGAAGAACCAAATAGCACAATGGATCATGGCGCAGGGAGGCTGGGTGAGTATGCAGTGCAGTGTGGCTGCATATTATTATACAATTATGCACATTATTATACAATTACATAACAAACTCTTCATAGCATATTTGATAAATGATCAAATAAAAATGGATCCTGTATAGTCTTCCCAATATGAAGGGCTGCTATTGTTAGTTGTACTTCAATCAAGTAGAATAATGTAATAACCTAGAATTCATACAGTGCCATTAAACTAGGACAAATACTTTAAAGCACTTCATGAAGATGATGGGAATGACTGAGCAGGGAGGTGAGGAGGGGAATTTGAGTGTCGACTGACAGTGAGGCCAAAGAGATACATTTTTGAGAGGATTTTGAAGGCAGGAGGAGGAGGCACAAAACAAGTGATTAAGTGATCTCTCCGCTAACAATTTCAGAGGGATTTTTGGAAAGAATAATATAAATTATGCACCTTGTAGGTTCAGATTTTATAGAGCTCTGCAGTCCCGATTCACTTATTAAAGTTGTTGCTGCGAGGTGCATACTCACTCAACCCCAGGTGGCTGGTGCAGGCTGATATTTTTCCACCAGGGTTTTTGTTTATGAAGCTGTGTTTACCTAATCCTCAATTCCTGCAATTATCGTATAATATTCAGTCAGGTACACAATGCTTTTGTGTATGCAACAAACATTCATAGGCGACTGTCTCACTCCATACTTTGCGACTGAGGTATTATTCTAAAAATACACCAGATATTTGGGCAGACGAATGATGCTGGAGAATACAGAATAGAATAAATGGTTCTAGACATACCATTTAAACACCTCAACATTATTACTAGACACAAATCAGATGACGTGCTGGACCAGTAAATCAGCATTACTGAAGCATCTATCATACGCTGTCAACCAAGTGCTGTTCCATAACCACTGTTATGACATGTTATCTAATACCCACTAGACTGTCCTGTAACCATCAGTCGCACAACACAAATTCCTCTATGATCTTTTGCCCTATTTACACTGCCAATCAGCGTAGTTACAATTCAAAATAAATGCCATTAAATATACACAGCAGCACGAGGGAAATGCGTGGAATTGCAAAATATGGGTCTCATTTGACAGCTTTGTAGTAGGAGGTCCATGATAATGGTGGAAGGAGAATAGCTCAGGTGGCTGTGGTAAAGGCAGTGCGCATTGTAAAGTGAATTGACTGTATATTTTGTGGTGAAATATACGTTACTAAAATTGGCAGACGTAATAAAAATGGGGCTTAATGCAAATGAAACACTGCAGGCAACCACAAGAGTCGTGACAGTGTTGTACAAAGCAAAACCTTAGTTAGAAACGCCCCAGTGATGGCACGATAGTGCTACACAATGCCCCTTATTGCGAGGATTGTAAGACTCTCACAAGCAGAGCAGCTGGACATTTTTAACTGAGGGCTTTCTCTTCTTGCGTGCAGACCGCTGCCTTTTCCGTGGAGAATGCCAGCCTGAAGTATCTGTGCGGCATCGTGGCTGTGGTAGTGCTGGGCGTGGCCATTGCCCACGGGGTTTACAAGTAACGAGGAGTCACGAGTGCTGCGTCAAAGCTGGTCTTAGGCCGAGCAGCACGGCACGTTTCACCCAGGTGGTGGACCATTGTCTTTTTCTAAATTTGAAACGATCGTGTTTGTACTCTAAATAATTTAGCTTTGGATATTTAAACTGTTTGTGGGAAAAGTGCTGGGCCACATTTACATTTTCTAAGTAAATTTTTTAAAAATAATAATAATAATATAAGGATTGCAAAAGTCAACGGATGGCCGTTACAGGTAACGGCTCCGTTGATGGTATTGTAAGTCTGTGTTGAGTCTATTTTTTTTTGCTATCGTGTACTAATCCTGGTGACACAGTTCCACCTATCATGTATGATCACTGGTTGATAATCCAAACTGAAATGAATTGTTTTTCCAGAAATGGGCTTTGGTTTTGACAAACGAATAAAAACATCAACAAGCCAATGCACATTGCTTTTCTCTTGTCGTGACTCATGTATTATCTTTTAAAAGACAATTATTTGCACATCGGTGCCACCCAAATTCCCAGTGTAACAAGCTCATAGTCTGGAAGGTTGCAGGTTCAAATCCTGGTCTGTACTGGTTTTCTCTTTTCCAGATGACTACATTCTGTAGCCATCAATGGGGTGGCTATCAGTCACGATTTTCCAACTGAAGAGTTTATAAACAAACTGGATGCAGGCACAGTGTTGTCACAGTGCGGCATGGGACACTGGGGTGGGGGTGGAAGAGAGAGTCAATTTTAGATGAATGCTCGACCTCTTTTATTGGGGTTATTAATGTAGATATCCTGTATGTATTGAGATTTTGTGCAAAGTGGGAAGCTTTTGCCTTAAGCGCATTTGTGGTCTAGGAACCAAAATATAGTATAGAGCAGTAAGGACAGCCTTGGCGACACAAAGTCTGTGACCTGGGTAAGTTAATGAAACAAAAAGGCGGGAAAGGATCACATGTGTCCTGGAGCAAGAAACTACAATACAATAAATTGGAAAGGGGAGGAGTTAAAACTTTAAAAGGAGGGGGTTTGCTGATCTCGGGGTCACTCTTCGTCTTGTATGTCATCAAGGAGGTACATGCCTGACCTGAAAACCTTGCCTCCAGGTCAAGATTGTTTTTTCTTTGCAGACTAACTTTGGGTAAAGCAGCTAGTGTGATAGTTTAGTGTCAGGGTATTTTCTATTCCTTAATGTTGCGACAGTTGTATAGGGTTAAGAGTTGAAAACATACCATTGAGTTTTCTATACAGTGCTTCTCAAGTCTCTGTAAACATCAAGGAGGGAGGGACGAAAAATAAATAGGTTACTGTGCAAGTCAGCAGTCTGGTAGTGCAAAGGGCACTGATGAAAGCATCCCTTCGTTGCACAATTAAGCATTGTGATTACCTGACGTGTGTATTCTCATTAGTGGAGTTTCAATAACAACATTACATTTGTTTAGTACCTTTCACGTTGGGAGGACGTCCCAAGGCGCTGATACTGAGAGAAGGGCTGATACAGAGGCCAACTAGTACACCAAGCACTTTATCAAAAGCTGGATATACAATTAGGGGTGAGAACCGTTGCATATCCCACCATCTAAATGAGGCTGATCAACAAAATGGGTTTAAAAACAATTAAGAAGATATTGGAGGTGGGGAGATCTCCCAGGTGAGGTTACAGAGTCCCCAGGAACAGTTATGTGACATTGCTGCATTCTCTGAATCCAATTATCATACTGACTTACAATATACCTCACAGAGCATACAACCAGAGCAGTAAAACAGAAATAGTCCTACAACCTCCTCCCACAAAGATGCCCATAAGACTGGAAAGTTTTATCAGTCACTCAAGGTTTTTTGGAAAGATCACTTTATTTTTTTCATTTCGGGCACTGTAAAGGCGTAAATTAAATTTAACACACAACAACTCGGATTTATATAGTGCTCGCCACACCAAACGGCATCTCAGAGCACTTCACAATAACGGATCCTGAGGCCGAGCCAGGGGGAGGAGGAAGGTGACCAAAGTCACGATTGAAAAGAAAGGTCTTTAGCCGAGACCTGAAAATAGGAAGAGAGGGGGCGAGGCGAAGGGAGTGAGGAAGGGGGTTCCAGAGCCTTGGGGTGTAGTGGCTGAAGACACAGCCGTCAATGGTGGAGCGGAGGACTCGGGGGATGAGGAGGAGACCTGAGGGACGCACAGAGGAGGCAGTGGGTGGTGGAAAAAAGGACTTTGGGATTGTTTTTTGCCTCCAAGATGATGTTGGAGTAGAAGGCTGTTTTTGCACGCGTCAAGGAACAGTGGTAGCTGTGGAGATGTTCAAGCCACAGTTGGTGAACCGTTAGGCCAGTTTTCTGCCATCTGTGCTCGAGCAGCTGGGTTTGGGTTTTTAGGGAGCGGGGATGACTGTTATACCAGGGGGATCGGGTGGGTTTGGAGATGGTCCTGGATTTCAGGGAGATGAGAGTTGAAAGTGGAGGAGAGGCGATAATGGAGCAGCTGGACGGCTGCTTCAGGACCTCTGCAGGTGGAAGGCCAGAGGGATAGGATATTGGAGGAATGTGAGGGCCTTTGTGAGGGTCTCAGGGGTCGCCTTTTCCACAGGAGGTAGAGTATGGTTGAGGGCTTGGTGGACGAGAGAGGGATGTGAGAGGAGAAGGAGATGAGGAAGTGGCCCAAGATGCCCTTGGCCATTATGCTCAGGTCGGAAATGCCAAGGCTGTGGGTGATGATGAGGTCAAGGGCATGGCCACGGTTGTGGGTCGGTGAATTAATGTGAAGGGTGAGATTTAGGGAGGAGGTCAGTGAAGTCAGAAGGGGAGTTTAGGTGGAGGTTGAAATCGCCCATTATGAGCAGGAGTTCGGAGCAGAGGGACAGGGGAGAGGAGATATGTCAGAGAGGAAGGAGCCAGGGGGCTTAGGGGGGTGGTAGACCAGAAGGATTTTCAGTGGGAGAAATGGATGAAAGAGTGCGAGGTGCTCAAAACAGGGGAAGCAGCCAGAGGAATAGGGGGAAAGAGCAAGGGAAACTTTGGAGATGAAGGCCACCCCACCGCCACGTTAAGTTTGGAAGGAGTAGCCTAGAGGGGAGGCTTCAACTAGGGGGATGGGGTCATTGGGGGAGAGGCAGGTTTCTGTGAGCCCAAGAATGTCAAGGTGCTCATTCAGGATGAGGTCATGGATGGTGATGGCTTTGTTTGTGAGGGAACGGACATTTTGAAGGGAAATGCGGGTGGGTTTGCTGGTGGGAGGAAAGAATGATACGAAGAGGATTTTAGGGTGTACAGAAGAGATGGCTGTGGAGTGCAGGGGGAGTGGAGAGTTGGGGAGGGTACGTATGAGGGAGGGGGAAGTTGTGTTTGCCTTAAGGAAGCTGTTTGTGCGGGGGGAGTGAATGATGGGACACTTGGGGTTGCTGCTCCACACAAAGGTGATTTTCTTTAAACAGTTCCTTTTTGCAATATTTAAATATCAGATCAAGAATCAGACCATGAATGCATTCCACTTACTCACAGCCTATGCATGGCTCAATGGTAGTGGTTTAAATTCCTTTTGCTTTTATGGACAATGTTCTAACTAGGCTGGAAGTGTACAATCATCGATGGGTGACTGAGGCACCAGCACAAGTACAACTGCAGTCCATGACACTGAGAGCAAAAAGCCTTTCCATTCAGTCAAAATAGCTCAGTCATTCTGAGGCTCATTTTCCACCATTACATCGATATGTTTGTAGAAGTGCCATGCTTTCAGGTTGCAGTTTCTCAGCATGGTGCCCAGCTGCTTGCCTGGACCGACTTCATACGTATCTGGAAAATCGGTGCCTTGTGCTCGTTCATACAAAGCATGCATGGTTTGTTCCCATTTCACAGGAGAAACCAGCTGCTTCACAAGCAGTCGCTGTATGTGTTTGTTGTGCATGTACTTTTTAGCGTCCACGTTCGAATAGACAGGCACAAGCGGCTTCTCGATGCTCATTCGCTTCAGGAGTTCTTGGAGCGGCTGAACTGCCGGGGCCATCAGCCGGGTGTGAAAGGCCCCACTGACTGGCAACATCTTGGTGCGCACAAAATGAAGCTTTCGGGAGTTTTTCTGTAAAAATTGGAGAGCCTGTGCAGAGAAAATGCAGCTTTAGTCATATCACCAAGGAACAGTGTTGCTGCACTGTTCTGCCACCTACAGGTGGATTAGTAACCCTTCAGCCCCATCTATACTGAGACTGAATAATGCCACTCAAATCCCTCCCTAAACTGTTAGTGCATTTATCTACAGTGTGTCAAAAGATATGAAACAAAACTTCAATTTGATTAGAATTAAAATCATGCGGCTTGCCAGTAGCTTAGCCGTTGCAGTGCTGGCCTATGTTAAACTAAACCTCACAGAGCAGGAAGGTCCCAGATTCATTACCTGGTCTGTGCTGAGTTAGCTGATCTCTGTCCAGAAGCAGTATGAGCGTCTGAAAGATTATCTAAAATTTGCCAGTTCCTGGTAACCAAGGAGTGACAAAAATATTAACGCTTAATGTAAAAAGCCCTCCACAAAATTCCAGACCATTTACTTATTTTCAGGATGTTAAAGATCCAATGACAGTGTTCAAAGCAGACAGGATTTCTCCATATGTCTTGGCTGACAATCTTGCTCTTGAATTGATCATTCAATTTGCAGCCTTGCTGGTTACAAATTACAAAATTCACATTTGCCTACACTACATTCATCACTAATTACTTGTCACTATAATTACTATATCTTGTTGAGATATTTCAACATAAGTCATTACGTTCTCTCTATCCCTCCCTAGTGGAACAGCACCACCTGTTTTGCTGTTGTTTTCACTGGGTATATCGGCTCCGATTAAATAGCACTGCTCCCTTTGTGGATCTTCTGGCTCTGACCCTCCCAAGGCTACAATAGAGGCCTGAAAGTTTTAGCCTAAAATCTAAACTAATCGAAGAATTTTCCAAATTTTCAATTCAGAAGCTGTTTTTCTACAGTATTTAAAAAGATCTGCACAATCTTAAATTTTAAGACAGTGATGTTAAGGCTATGACCAGGTGGAATTTGGGCCCTCTCACAGATCGGCTGTAGCATGGGTACTTCTTGAGGTATCCGTGGAACTGGTTAATTCTTCCAATTCAACTTCAGAATTCTATATATTTTAGCGTACACAAAATATCTCCTTTCAAACACCAAATGTTTTCCAGTGCCTTTGAGACATCTCAACGACGTGATAATCAACCACTTGCATTTATATAGCGCCCTTCACGGTGTAGTGCCCCACCACTGTTGATAAGTTGCTAAATCAAATCAAGGATTATTATTTGAACCTGTGGCCGTTATGTTCAGTTACTTTTACAGACGCTGCTCATTCATTCGAATTTTTCAATTAAAGGCCTCGTCGTTCACCAGCTACTGTCATGACAGTCCAATATTTTAACTTGTCATAAAATTTTCAAAAATTGTTCTGCCATTTTTCTTCCTTAGGTACTGACTCATATTAAGTTATGATTCCACAGGCACCCAATACCCAAGTGGACATGTGTGAGCCTAGGTGTTGAGTGTTGGCTTACTTGTTAGCCATAGGATATTAAAGCTTAATCCTGTTATTATCAAACATTAACACACATACACCTTCCATCAGGGGTCACTGGAAAGAGATCTGCTGGGTGAATTCCAGATAATTTTCCCCACCCTAGCCCAGGCACCAAACCCAATTTTACAGTCCCAAACTGCTGACATCAGCTAACTTTGCAGATCCAGATACCAGATCCTTACACAATATATTCACTGGACATTGGCTTTACCAACTAAAGTATTGGGGAGCTATTTTGTTTGACCGTAACCTTCTGAAAACACAGAGGATAGGAGTGACCCTAAAGCTTAACTTTGCAATGGTGATTTTATTTCCATTCTCCATCTTCTGTCTTTGAGGAAAAAAATAGTGCAGTTCTGGTGCAATACAGCACAGCACACCCTAAAACTCTACATATAATCATCTAAGTCTCTACATACAGTTATAGTGAATATATAAATATGAAAATTTAGCACAGCTCACCTGCAAATGTCCAGCGAACACGCGGCCATCAGGAAAGAGGTAGTTGGCAACGTCACACACAGGATCCTCCACTCCCAGGGACCTGCAGTGCTCTTGAGCTTCACGACAAGCAGAAGCGTATTTGGCTTCTGGACGTCCTATCACGGACAGCATACCACTGGGAATGGAGTCTGACGCCTGTTGCATGGCTTCTGCCCGCACCTTCACTGCATGGAGACCTGAGATGGGAAATGGCAACAGCCAACACGATTTACATTTCACTGACTTCCGGTTTGATTATTTTCTCCCTAATTTCCTCCCAATTTTATTCCTTTCTCTACTCCTCTTCCGAAGACATTTGACTCATTTTGCTTACACTGGAGAGCAATTTGTGGACCCCAGGAGCCCTTTTATTCCCCTACCTCGTACCTTGCCCAAATGGTTATTATTCATGCATGAGTCTGTTGGAAGATAATTTGACTGGGCGGGGGAACAAAATCACAGCCCAACCCAATCCTGACTATAAATTTACATGGCACCCTTCACATGGGGGAAGCACAACTTGTGAACTCTTGGGTCAGATCATATATATAAGGATTTGCTTATATAAAAAAAAAACTTTGTCCAATCTGACAGCCCCGATTTTACCTGAAAACCGTTTGTCAATCGGGAGGCAGTGGAGCCTGGCTTGAACTGATGAGATGAGCTCTCCAACCTGCTTACCCCCAGTCTGAACTGATTTATACACTGAGTGCAACACAACTGATATCCTTAGCCTAACCTTCAACAAACTCCATAGCTCCAGCGAAGACAAGCGCGGTGAATTCTCCCACACTGAACCCTGCCGCTCCGACACACATCTCGACTGCCTGGAAGATCAACACAGACATATGTAGCAATTTTTAACAGAGACATTAGAGTGAAACAGAAATCCAACATGAATTACTGTTACAGATGGCTGCAAATCACCCTGGGCTACAGATTGAAAATCAGTCACCATTTCCACTTCTAATCACAACAACTTGCAGTTATATAGCGCTCTTCATATAGAATAACATGTAGGGCTCTAACTTGTGATCCTTACTGGAAAGGATCAACTGAGATGCTTTCCGTGGTTAAATATCCCGCGGACACTCACAACAGCATCCTGTGAGTTACAACCCTTGTGTTACGGTCAGTGACACAGGAAAAGCAGCTCACCTGGGCACGGATCTGCACTGCAGCACAGGAAAATTGGAAATGGTGGTGGATGGGGGTGAATAATAATAATAATCCTTACATTTGATATCTAACAAACCGCCTTCAAACTGTTTCTCCTCCCGCTCCTGCCCGGTCACCTGTGGTGTATCCCAAGGCTCCATCCTTGGCCCCTCTGCTTCATTTATACGCTCCCTCTTGGCGATGTCATCCGCAGACACAGGGTAAACCGGGGGGGGGGGGGGGAGGGGAGGAAGGTGACCAAAGGCTCGGTCGAAAAGAAAGGTCTTCAGTCGAGACCTGAAAATAGGAAGAGAGGGGGAGAGGCGAAGGGAGTGAGGTAGGGAGTTCCCGAGCCTTGGGGCATAGTGGCTGAAGGCACAGCCGCCAATGGTGGAGCGGAGTATTCGGGGACAAGGAGGAGGCCAGACCCGGTGGAGTGAATGCAATGGGCACTATTGTGAGGAGAGAAGAGGTCAGACAGGTAGAGGGATGCAGAGGAGTGGAGGGATTTGAAGACAATGGTGAGGATCTTGATGTCGATCCTCTCTGGGACAGGCAGCCAGTGCAGTTTGGCGAGGACTGAGGTTATCGGGGAGCAGAGTTTGGTGTTCCCTACAATTCACATTGATAAGACAGAAGCCATACTCATTGGCTCCGGTCAAAGTCTTCTATCCCGTGGCTCTGACCTCCCCAACCTCCCCAGCCTATCATTCAAACTTACCAAACCGGTGTGCAACCTTGACCCCAGATTCAACCCACAGCTGTCTTTCCTTCCATGCATCTGGGCCCTGACCAGAACCATCTTCCTCCACATTTCCCGCCTCCGACCGTATCCTTACCCCAGATGCAGCCGAAACATTCGACTATGCATTCGTCACGTCCTGACTCGACTTTTCAAATGCCCTGTTTGACGGTTTCCCCAGCTCCACCATACAGTTCCAGCTGATCCAAAACTCCGCTGCTCGCAAAGTCACCAGCACTAAACTCCGCAGCTTCATCACATCAGTCCAAGTCGGGCTCCACTACCTCCCAATTGACGAATGGTTCGATTTCAAGATCCTCACACTTGCTTTCAAATCCCTTCATGCCCTGGAAACTCCTGACCTCTCCAACATACTTATCCCCAACCCACAACCCACTGCCTCCGCTCGACTGGCTCCGGCCTCCTGCATGTTCTCCGGGCCCTCCTCCACCATCGACAGCCAGTCACTACGCCCCGAAACTCTGGAACACCCTTCCTCTGTCCACCTGCTTTGCCCCTTCGTTCCCCGCCTTCAGGTCGCGAATGAAGAACTTTCCTTTGCCTACGGTCACCCACCCCCTCCGCCCGGCTCTGTGCTCCGCCACTGTCAAGCGCTCTGGGACCCCACCCCGCGTGAGGGCCTCTATATAAGTGCAAGTTGTTGTTGATATAGGGGCCGAGTCGCAGTGTCCAGACATCTCAAAGCGCTTCACCGGATAATACTGCACTTTGTAGGCGAAACACATGTGCAAAGTGTGACAGTTCACAGACGGCACTCACTTGGGGGTTGACGTGATTCAGCCTCTCCACTGCAGCCAGAGAGGTGAGGAACACGGCGGGTTGGCAGTGGACCGTCCTGTCCAGCTCCGACTGCGGCCCATTCAGACACAGCTCCATCAGGTTGTAGCCGAGGATCTTCTCCGCCGCCGCGAACATCTGTCGGACGCTCTCGTACTTCAGGAGCCCCCGTCCCATCCCCACAAACTGACCGCCCTGTCCGGGGAACAGGAACAGCGAGGAGGCTCGGGGGCGGCTCCTGGGCCTCCTCCTCGGGGGGGAATCGCTCGTCTCCTCCGTCGTTTCCAGCATTGCTGCTATGTCCGGGGGTCTGTCGGCGGCCGCAGAGCGCGGGGACCCGCACAGTCCCCTCCAGGGGAAGCCCCGCAGCCGACAAACAGCTTGAAACCGCATGGTCACGAGGCGCGGGGCCGCGGGGCCCGGAGGGAGGCCGCGGCCTCTCCGCAGGCCGTGGGAGTGAGGCCTTACACCAGCCCCGCAATGACAGTCAACAGCCGCCGCTCCCTGAGCTCCCCGGGCCGGCCCCGGCCCCCCGGCCCCGCTCCCTGAGCTCCCCGGCCCGGCCCCGCTCCCTGAGCTCCCCGGCCCGGCCCCCCGCGACCCCCGGCCCCGCTCCCTGAGCTCCCCGGCCCCGCTCACTGCCCCGCCCCGCACACCCGGGGCTCAGTCAGTGCCCGGAGCTATCTCGGCTCTCAGTCTGTGTGTGTCTGTCTCTCTCTGTCTGTGTCTCTCTCTGTGTGTGTCTGTCTCTCTTTCTCTATATATCCGTGTGTCTGTGTCTCTCGGTCTGTCTCTCTGTGTGTGTCTTCTGTCTCTTTGTCTATCTGTGTGTCTGTCTCTCTTCTGTGTGTCTGTCTGTGTGTTTTATTTGGGGCACTTTGCAGTTTAAACAGACGACCACACGCGCTCTCACAGTGGCGACACCGTAACATCACTTCCGGAGGCGGGGCTTCTGTAAACAGTAGTGTAGAATGGAGGGTTTGGTGGGCGGGTCCCAGAAGTGACCGGCGATTGGTGCAGTCTGTGTGACCGACAAGTGATGGGTGGAGCCTATGCGAGTGACCGGTAGTGGGTGGAGCCAAGTATGCGTTCAGGGTGGAGTCCTGGTGAGTGACAGGCGGTGTGCTGAGGGGGGCGGGTCCTGGTGAGTGACAGGCGGTGTGCTGAGGGGGGCGGGTCCTGGTGAGTGACAGGCGGTGTTCCGGCCCCCGGGCGGATGATTGACAGGTAGGGGAGTTCCGGGGGAGCGCAGAGACAGTGGCAGCGGAGAGAGAGAGAGAGAGAGAGGAGATCGCAGCCGCAGGTGGATCCACTGAAATGGTGAGTGCTCTCTGTTTTTCGTCCCTCTGTTTACACAGCAATCACCTGACACTGTCATGGTTTAGGACCATGTGCGAAACCTGCACACTGAGTGGTTCTTTAAATGCAACTTCCAAATGACTGCCCCCCCCCCCCCCCCCACACCCCCCCCACACCCCCAACTACAGTCTGTGTAGCCTTTCGCTTCAAACCTCCAGATGCACCCCTTGGATTCAGCCCCTGTCAGACAGTGAGTTTCACTTGGAAAAGTGGCTTCAGAGGTGCCTGGAGTCCAGTAGATATCTTCAGAAGTATTTAAAAACAGCAGTTTCTGAAATTGCATAACTTTTCTCAAAGTGTTAAAAGTTATGCAATTTCAGAAACTGTGAGTGATCCCCCTGCTGTTTGTCAGTTACCATTTGCACCCTATAGACTTGAGCGCTTAACATAAAATAGTTGTCTTATCTTTCTTCACCCTGTGAAGGCTCTTTTGTAAGGGAATACGGAAAAGCAGTCAGGCAGTCCGATCCGCTTCGCTGTCGGATGGTGCCCGGTTACTTTGTTTTTGAATATTACTGCTGATCCCAAACCAATGGAGCTGCATTCTCCTAAAAAGAATGACGTTTCTGCTGCCATTGCGCTTTTGAGACGTTCTTCTGAGTGAAGATCGCTACATAAATGCAAATTATCGCGTGCAAGTGATATAGGTTTTCTTGTTTTATCGTAAAAGTAAGTTGCTGGGTTCAGTCTCTTCCTTGCTGGTCAGAATTTTTGACACCATGATTAAGAGTATCCAAAAACAAACCGAGAATTCCATACATCCGATCTACACGTGGAAATTCCAGAGAAAGATTGTTGGAATGGAATGCGCACTCTCTTCCTGGAGGGACACATCCTCCTTACCTAATTCCGTAATGTATTAGGTGCAGGTCGGCAAGAGCCAAGGCTTGTGAACCCCAGAGTATTGCAATGGGGGTACTGCTGGAGTCTAACCAGCTTAATTTGAGAGTTTAGCTCCCATTCCCAGGAGTGTCCCGAGAATGAAAGTGATGGATTTGGGATCATGTCGAAATAGAGGATTTTTCGCAGAAAAGGTATAGATTTATGAAGTTTCCACTCCCACTCGCTTATATGCAGGGGATACTCCAACCAGAAAAAGCATTCACTCCATATCTTCCTTCCTTCCTCTTAACTCCGTGAAAGAAAAAGTGGATAAAAAAAGGCGACAAGTTCTTCTTCCAACCGCCCAGCCCTGCAGTGTGGGAGTGCCCTGTAAATGCTGCAATGAAACATTCAGTATCTATTAGAGTTTAATATTGGCTTTGGCTCCATGTACTTTCCATGTTATCTACTTAGTAGTTTAGCTCTTTGTTTCACCACCACCAAGTGCAGGCTTGACTGGTCACAAGTCGGAAAGGTTTGAAAATTTGGATGCACGTCAGTTTTGCCACCAAGAAAATAAAATGATTCGGGATTATTATTAGGTAATGAGATAAGGTTTAATTAAATTTTTTTTGGTCAGCTGGGCCCTGACACATTCTGAAACCCATCAACATGCAGTATCCAACCAGACAGAGTTCCACAGATACAACCGAGCTACCCTACCTGTTAGGGCTTTGGCTGCAGTGTTTATGGGAGCTGAGTGAGATGAAGCCCTGCTCCTCCGTGAGTGTCTGTCCCTCCCAAGTCCTCCCGATGAGTCAGGCTGGTAGGTTGTCATCAGCAATGCCCTGGAATACTGTGGGTAATGTTCACACCTCGAGTCAGCTAGTCCAGTTCGGACTATGGATTGAATCTGGAACCTCTGATCTGTTACAGTGTGTTCAGTGGTACATTAACAGGGCAATATGGAAATGGAAAAACAACCTTACATACAATATATTCTAGTAACTTCAACATGGATGTAAAAAGTCTTTCTCGGGTTATCGGGTAAGTGCTTTCAGAAATAGGCCATTTTTGCATCAGCAATTGGGAGTGGATATGTATTAATTAGAAAACAAGTGGCATTGTTCAAGAAGCAGTGGCTTGAAGCAGTGGGTGAAAGCCAACAAAACATAAAGGCTCCAATTGAGGGTCATTGCGGAGGCTGGAGGCATAAGTTTTCACAATGTCTGGTCACCACATTTTTCATCAAAATGAAAATAAAAAATTATGCAATCTTGGAAATCTTTTACTTTTGTCTGCACTGCTTGAAATCTGTTACGATTTACAACAAATTACATTTGTATAGTGTCTTTCACATCAGGAGGACTTCCCAAGGCGCTGGACAATGTAGGATTTGGGCCCGAGCTGGGGGTTGGGATCAGGAGAGATGGAGGGCAGGGAGGGTAGGGATCGGGGAGTGACCAAAGATGGGGTCGAAGAGGAGGGCCTTGAGATGGGTCTTGGAGGAGGCAGGGGAGGGACTGGGATGGAGTTCCAAAGGGTGGGGATAATAGGATTGAAGTGCAGTAACACTTTACCAACTTGCACTGTATTTGAGTGGGTTGATCAGTGGTTGTTTAAATGATGTCAGGCACCACTTTCCTACCTCAGGCTTTAAATGAAGCAGTTGGTAACTAAACAGTGATTTTACTGCGTTCTCAATGAAAAGGTTTGGGAACACTCTTGCACATCCCAGTTTGCTTGGAGACAGTTCGGCCTCCTGCTTCCCTTTTTCCTACACCCCTCCCCAAGCTGGTAATTATTTTATCCAGCACAAAAAGTTAAAGACCTGAATGGACTCAGTATTACTCTTGGCATTTATATACACTCCGTTTAGTTGGACATAGCTTTTGTAGGACCACAGTTAGTCACAGGAATGTTTGTTCAGTCAATCTTTGCCAATATGTTTCCACTTTACTGTTCAGACACAGCTCAGTCTCTCAAAACCTCTCTCTTTGCCTATGGTTTGACCACCTCTCGCTCCTCCTACCCCCTTCCCTTTCCCCCCCACTTCTCCCTCCCCCCCTCCTCCCTCCACCCCCCACAAAAATACACAGTCAATTCACTTTACAGTATAACCTATGAAGCGCTTTGTGATAACAACAACAACAAGATTCCATTTATAGAGCGCCTTTCACGTCGTCCCAAGGCGCTGAGACGTCCTAAGACACTATATCAAATGCAAGGATTATTATTATGGCGAATTCTTTGCGACATTCACAAACACCAATTCCCCGGGCGCCCCCGGACACCCATTTTCCAGGACTGCCCCCCCTCTACCTGACCACAAATTCAGTTACAACATCCGAAAAGTTGACATGAGAGGGAAGTTCCTCCAGAGGGTCAATCGGTTGCAACATGTTCAGGATTTACCAATTCCTTACGCAAACCTCGCAAATTAGAGAAAACAATGTTTGGACAGTGTCCTTCATTATTGCCCTCGAAGCGATTGTTTCTGCCGAGTAACTTGGAAGTTGACCTTCAGCTGTGCTCTGGGATGATAATACAAACATTGTCGCCAACTCTTGTCAGGGTGGAATGTTGAGCAGAGCTTGTGTCCTTCATGTCCGCATCTTCTGGAAAATTGTGAATTTAGGATTTTTTTTTAAACAACTGCCTGCCAGAGAAATGCAGGAAGTGGACCAATTGACAATCTTTTGCAGCTTTTACCATCAAAAGACTGATTTGTTGTCTTAAAATCAACCAGTGGAGTTTAGAATCAATGGTGTGCTCTTGCTCCCTATCTCACCATACAGGTTTTGGCACTGCCCTCCCCCCCCCACCCTGCTTGTGTTCGTTTTGCCTTCCCCCCAGGCTCAGGCTCAACCACCAGCTCCCCCTCCCACTTCCACAAAAAGTCTGAAGAGTTTTGAATGAAATTCATACTTATACAACTTACGTGTGTGTAAATATTCTAAATTTTTGTTTAGAATTACAATTTTAAATTTTTTTATATACGAGTTCATTCTTTTTCCTAATTTTGTCCGCACTGGCATTGCCTCTGCCCTCATTAGTCTGACCTCCTCTTACTGGACTGAGGTTCCCTCAGCGCATGTTGCCCTCCAGTAATTGAATTTTTTTTAAAACAAAGTTTGCATTGCTATTCAAAGGCCTTATCTTTAGCAAACTAAATCATTGGATCCCTTTTCTTTCTCAGGTCATCAAAATGCCCCCATCTTGGGTCTACGCTTTTGGTTTTACTACATTGCCGTGTGTTGGCGGAGCTATTGCCGGTTTGATAACCCGGAATGAGATTTCTCATTGGTACGCGACTCTGAAGAAGCCCTCATGGTGTCCATCCAATGAGATATTTGGCCCTGTGTGGACAGGACTGTACATAGGCATGGGGTATGTAGCACTTTAACATGTACATGAGCTAACTCGTCTTGTCTCTGGTCATACAACTATTATTGGAGGGTTAAATATTGAACCCTTAGGTTTCAAGGTGGGTGGAGGAGAAGGTGGCATCTCCTTTTAGAGAATATTCCATCAAAAAATAAAAATCGCTAGGCCTGCAGTTGATATGTTGAATGTTTTACAAAGATTTGCAAGAGCTATGGGACTTCTGCCCTTGGTCATTCCAGATCCTGTGCCCCAGTAAGGTAACCTTTTGGGGTTGAATCTGGCTGCTAAATGAAATACAGTGAGTAGTCTCTGGGCACTGATATGGTGGTCAAACTCACCTGCCGCATGTGTCCTTCTATCAACTAGCCCTTCTTTAAGTTTTTCCTAGTTTCAGCTCGCTGGGATATGCCCAGACTGCAACTGACAGAACAGGAGGATAACTCACCCCCAATCTACACTGCAAATTAGGGTGGAAATGACTCACAGTTGCTCTCACTCGCTCATCTTTTCCCATTTTAGCCTTCCCGTCATCTCCCTTTGGCAATGTTTTGGCCGTGGCAGTAGGGGAGATTAACTGAAGAACATGGTACCGTTTAAAAATTGCAAAATCTCAATCTCTATTTTAAGAATAAAACAAACAAGAAGTCAGCCTCCAGCTCCTGCAACGCTGTCAGGGCAGAGGGATGCTGAACAGTTCTATTCACACTGTGGCTGGGAAAGGCTGCTGCTACTCTGAGCTTTTTGTGGTTTCAAGCAGGGTAGTCAACCTTTTGGCCTGCAGCTTGCATCTGCGTCTGATTTCAAACACCCCCCCCCTCCCCCCACTCGCTCCCTCCATAAACCCATAAATGTCAGGTTATGTTTCTGGAACGTAAATACAAAAATATTGCTTATGTGGCCCACGGATGTTTCTCCAATAGGGCATCAGGTGCTCAGCAGGCAAAAGGTTGGCCCATCCTAGTTAAGTATGCGTTTTATCTTACAGGCGTATTGAAATTTCAAACACTACAAAGTGACTTAGGGACAGCTGGTGAGGGATCACTGAGCAATAGATTGATTTAGGACTAATTCCATGGTCTTTTCCCCATCCTCAGCTATGGTTCTTACCTGGTGTGGCAGGACCTGGGCGGATTCAACAAGAGTGCCTTAGTCCCACTCGGTTTATACGGAACCCAGCTCATACTCAACTGGTTGTGGACTCCTATTTTCTTTGGCCAACACAAGATTGGTGCCGTAAGTATAGACAAGAACAGAAGAAAAGACTATTTGGCTATCAGAGTTAATTCTCAACTACCTCATTTTACTGGTGACATCATCAACCTCTCCCTGACATCCGCCACTGTTCCTACCCCACTCAAAAACAGCCCCCACCTTGAAGAAACCTTCCCTTGACCCATCACAGCTATCCAGCTACAGGTCCACCCGCCACCTCCCTTTTCTGTCTAAGGTCCTTGAGAGAGCCGTCACCTCCCACCTTTCTCTTTCCTCCCACTCCCTCCATGAGCCCTCCAATTGGGTTTCCGTGCTGCCCAATAGTCAAGGTCACAAATGACATCCTGACCATGTGTAACCAGAGCTCTCTCTGCCTCCTTGTCCTCCTTGACTTCTCCGCCGCCTTTAATACTGTGAACCACTCAATCCTCCTCCACCGCCTCTCCCGCCTCAACCTTCAAAGGTAGTGTCCTTGGCCGGTCCTACCTTTCACTCTGCCTCCACTTAATTTCTGCAAACAGCTTCTCCTCCAGCCCCCGCACCGTCTAGTGCGGCTTTCCTCAGGGCTCTGTCCTCGGTCCCCTCCAATTCATCCTTTACATGCGCCCCCTTGGTGACATAATCCGCAGACATGGTGTAAATTTCCACATGTATGCGGGTGATACCCAACTCTGTCTCTCTGCCTCCACCCTCAACTCCAGGATTACTGGCGCTCTGACCTGTCCAACGTCAAATCCTGGATGAGGGACAACTTTCTCCGACTGAATGTCAGCAAGACCGAGGCCCTCCTGATTGGCTCACCCCAGCGCCTCCGCACCTCGGGCGCTGGCCTCCACGGCTGCACAATCAACCTCACTAAGCCAGTCAGGAACCTGGGTGTCTTGTTTGACCCTGAACTGTCCTTTCTCCCCCACATCCACGCCATGACCGGCACTGCCTACCACCACCTCCGCAACATTGCCAGACTCCGCCACTGCCTCACCCCTCAGGCTGCCGAAACCCTCACCCACACATTCGTCACATCAAGGCTCGATTACGGAAACTCCCTCCTCATTGACCTTCCCATCTCTTCTATTCACAAGCTGCTGATCATCCAAAACTCAGCAGCTCGTGTACTCTCATGCACCAGGCTCCACGACCCCATCACTCCCACCCTCGCCTGACTCCACTGGCTCCCCATCCCTCAGAAGGTTGAATTCAAGATCCTCGTCCTCACTTTCAAGGCCATCTATGGCCTTGCCCCCTCTTACCTCTCTGACCTGCTGACTCCCTACCAACCTGCCCACTCCCTCCATTCAGCGAGCTCCGGCCTGCTCCATGTCTTCCGCCCGACCCGCCCTACCATCAGTGGCCGGGCTTTCAGCCTCTCTGACCCCACACTTTGGAACTCCATCCCACAGTCCCTTCGCCTCGCTTCCTCCTTTGCCTCCTTCAAGGCCAGTCTCAAGATCCTCCTCTTCGATCGTGCCTTCAGTCACCCTCCCACCTCTCTGCCTTCCCTTACCCCTACCCCACCCCTTCCCCATGCTTGGGTCCAGCGCCATGGGAAGTCCTCCAGGGAAAATGTAATTTTGTTGTTGTTATTGTTGTTGAAGTGTCATATCCAGTCGAATTTCTCTGAGGCTTTTGTCTTGACAACTGCCCCCTTCTAGATAGTACATTTACCACTTGGAGTAAAGTGATCTCCGTCCGCATTGTGTTAAAGCAGTTTTTCCTAACATAGAATTTATGTCACCTTGTCTGAGAAAACAACCAAGGGTAATGTTGAAATTAACCTATCACCTTGGACATGGTTCACATCAACTAACATGCGTCTGCAAGTTAGGCCTTAGAGCTTCCCCTCTGGAGGGTGAAAAAGTGTGGCAGAGACTGGTTGAATTGACTGTGGGTATGGATAGCGTAGAGGCGCTTGTTCACAATGGAAAGCTGTCCAGTCTCATTTTGTTTGCTCAGCCAGATATCTGACACATGCGGAAACCAATCGCCATGCTTAGGAGAATCCAAACCAGACTATGTTCCATATACTTATGCCACCTACACAAGGAAATTTCTCTGTGTCTGGAAATGGAGGGACGCACTCCGTTTACCTAATTCCAGAGGTGCAGGTTGGTGAGAGCCAAGGCTTGGGGGACCACAGAGTGTGCCATGAGGATATTGCTGGAATCAGCAGGATCCCTGGTGAGAGCAGCTCTTGTATGGCTGCAATGCTGACCCTTGTCTGTTGGTGTTTTAGGCTTTAATTGAAATAATCTGCCTGTATGGTACAGCCGCAGCAACAACTGTCTCCTGGTACTCCATCAATAAGACCGCCTTTTATCTCATGCTTCCTTACATGAGCTGGCTGACCTTGGCTTCCGTCCTGAACTACGTCATCTGGAGAGACAACCGGGATAAGCAGGAGTAGAAACATCTCCTTGCTGGCTGCTGTGGAGGCCCAAGGATCCCAATCCAGCCCAACCACAATCTCTAACAATACCCAGTGCAAGAACAAATTGCATTGACCACACTTAAAATGATTTTAAAACAATCGGTGTTTCTGTTACTTTGTAATTAGTGTCACCTTGAACTCCACCAACTTGTAACCATTATTGTTTAAAATATATTAAAAAAACTGATATTATGTAATTGTATGTAATTCTACTGTGTTTCTCCATCTGCCTTCCAACTACAAGTGCAATTACACAGCTACTCAGTGTGTATTCTGGTGCCTCATCTACCGGTCTTCACATTCTATACTTTACTATCAAGTAACAAAACCTCTCTATGACAAGAACTGCCACCAACAAACAACAATTTATATTTCACTGTAGGATAATGTCTCGGAGGACTTCACAGTAGTGGAGTTAAGACGCTGAGCAAGGGAGAAAGGAGGTGAGCACAGGTGCTATCGAAGAGGTAGGCATTAAAGATAGAGTGGGTGAGGTGGAGGGACAGGGAAAGGGAGGTCCAGGGGTTAGGGGTGTAGTGACTGAAGGCTCGGCCACTGATAGTGGTGCGGAGAGGGAGAGGGAACCTCAGCAGACCCGTCTTAGCTGAGAAGGGGGTGGGTGGGGGGTTGGGGGGGGGTCAAGAGGAGGAGTGAAGTATGGGAAGATAAGATTTCTAATGCAGATCAAGTTTTGGGATGCAACTTTAGGTCATGAAGGCTTCCCATCAGCACATTTAGCCATCCCAAATGTAGGTGCTCTTGTAGTATTGATGACATTGTCTTAACCAATGCAACTGCAGCACTGTCCACTGAAGTGGAGGATGACCGACTACATGTTCTTTGTGCTCTACTTACCCACACAGAGGTGCAAGAGAGCATCTAAAGCAACTCACTTCACATTGACATGCTTCCCCCTTTCCAATTTTCCTACATTCAAAGCTTCAAGACTCAATACTTTGCTTTTAAACGTGTACTTATGAGTTCTCCCTAAGTGTTGGGGTGCAGAGAAACTAATTTCACTACATGGGTTGAATCTTAACCAGAAATAGGGTTAGAATTATACTGATGTTTTGCTCATATGGATTAAGGTTTTTTTCCAGCTGGACTGAGAACTGATGAAGCGTTTATGGCAGAGCACCTGCTTTGGACAGTTTTTTAAACTTTTTTTGCAAGATATTTTTTCCCTCCTCTCTCCCGCCCCCCATAATATTTTTATATGTTTAAAGACTTGAGTGCAGTTGAAATCCTGAGTTCTATTGGGGCTCAACTTTTCGGGCTGCAGAACTAGTGTTAGAGCGCAGAATCTCTTGGCTTGTCTGCCGATATTAACCACAAGCTAAACTCATAACCTTTTTATAAATATGGTGTATGGTGTTGGAGTCTGTCTGTGGGAAATGGCTGTGTATCAATGGTCTTCAATAAATAAATTAAAAACCACACATGGGGTCAGACTTAAACCCACTGTTTAAAAAAGAGAAAAGTGTGCTTGGTTTAAACTAAGTCAAATAAATAATAAATTTGTAAAAATCTAATGAATGAAAAGTTTTAAAAAAAAGTGAAGAAATAATTCCATTGTGGAGACTTTTGCTGCCTTTGAGCAACAGCGCCATTTCAATCATGGATACCTCTCTTTGTATGCCGTTTCTTAAAGTATTAAAAAAATTAAAAATGGGAAAGTAAACCATGGACTCTTCTGTGTGTTTCTTGTTCAAAGGTTTAACTTAAAATAAATCTTTGCACTTTTTCTGTGGTCTCTGAACTCGGTGTGACTTAATTTTTATGCCACTGATCTTGGATCAGGTTTGGAATTGATCCCAATTTCTGCTGAGGTGATTTGGAAGAGCAGTCCAGCTGGCCAATGCTTTCCAATCATTGAAGTGCTTTCAGACATCTTGAAGACGTGATAAGGCACGACATCAAATGCAAAGATTATTATTGGACTAAATGTGGGATTGATGCTCACACAGATAATGGTGACTTGTGCCAGGTGCTAGAGGGTGACCAGTATAATTGTAACCTAGAGGTGGCAGGTAAACTGGTCTCACACCTGAAGCTCAATAAGAGAGGTAGGGCTTTGTTTTGATTAAAAAGACAGTTAAGATAAGGTTGAAGTCCCAGCTCCACCCTAGTGCTTACATTCCATTTCTTCTTCATCTCTAACTGTAGTAACTGGTAGTCTTCACCTGATATTAAGAGACACTTCTTTCCCTCTTCTGCTGCTCTTTCTCTTTTATCCCTTCTCCACGCTAAATCTCTTCCCTGATCCCAAAAAAGTTCATTGTTCACAATGCAAGTGTTTCTTAGGACACCAAATTCGTTTTGTAAATGTATTTTAAAAAGGAATTGGATATATATTTCGAAATGACAGATAATGGCATAAGTTCTCTTGAAATGACCAATTGCTTCTAAATACTTGATGGTTACCTTAACCCTCAGAACTGTAATGCTGTATTGTAAAACTGCCAGTTCTGTCTCTTCCGCACTGGCTCCGCAACCCTATCACCCCCATCCTTGCCCAATTCCACTGGCTTCCCATTGCACAGAGGATACAGTTCAAGATCCTGGTCCTCACCTTCAAAGCCCTCCATGGTCTTGCTCCCCCATACCTCTGCGACCTCCTAACCCCCAACCATCGTGCTCACTCACTCCACTCAGCGGGCTACAGCCTGCTTCACGTCCCCAGCCTCTCTCACCCCACTATCGGCGGGCGGGCCTTCCGCCACTTTGCCCCCACCCTCTGGAACTACATCCCGCAGTCCCTCTGCCTCACCCCCTCGCTTGCCACCTTCAAGACCCATCTCAAGACCCTCCTCTTCGACCGTGCTTTTGATCTCCCTGCTTCCCCCCTGCCCTCCACCCTTCCCCAGCCCGACCCCCAGCTCAGGTCCATAATTCTGTCTGTCCAGCGGGGACATCCTCCCGACGTGAACGGCGCTTTAGAAATGTTATTTTGCTGCTGTTGTTGACATATAACAACTTGCCGATTGTCATGCTCCCTCTCGGCAACTTCCGCAGACAATGGGTGAATTTCCACATGTGTGCGTATGACAATCAAATCTACTCCTCCTCCAGCTGCGATTCCCAGTCCGCTGATGTCCTGTCATCTTGTTTGAGTCCTGTAACTTACTGGTTAGAGCACTCGCAAGCGAGAGAACCTGGGTTCGATTGCTGGGCATTGTGATACCTTAGACAAGTTTCCTTACTTCACATGCCTCTGTTTACCTAGCAGTAAGTAGACACTCGGTTATTAGGTTGTTAATCAATTGGTAGATCACTTTTCCAGTGCTAATAATCCCTTCAAAAATAATAATAATAGTATTATTCTATCCGCGACTGTTTGTGGGACACTGCTGTGCTCAATTGGCTGCCACATTTTGCTCACAAAGCATAGTCAATTCAGAGTATATTCTGTGAAGCGCTTTGAGATGTCTAGAAGACGTGATAAGGCTCTATATCAATGCAAGGATTATTATTATTATTATCAAGGCCTGGATAAGTGCAAATTTCCTGCAGCTGATGTCAACAAGATGGAAGCAATACTTACTGAACTCCTCAACCTACCCAGGCTCTCCCTCAGACTCACTGATCCCGTGTCATGGGTGTCAAGTTCGATCCCCAGTTTTCCTTTCTACCCCGCAATTTTTCCCTGATCAGGACCACTTTTTTCCACCTCCGCCACGTTGCCCACCTCCTTCCCTACCGCACAACTGACACAGCTGAAACCCTCATCCACACCTTCATCACTTCCTGGCTGGACTATTCCAAAGACCTCCTCACTGGTCTCCCCAGCTCCACCATACACAAAACCTAATTATTTCAAAATTACACCACCTGGATACCCATCCGCACAAAGCTCTGTACCCCCATCACACCAGTCCTTGTCAGGCTCCACTGGCTGCCAATTACCAAATGGATCAATATCAAGATCCTCCCACTCATTTTCAAATCACTTAATGCCTCTCTCTACCTATCCGACCTACTTTACCCACACTCCACCACCCGCTGTCTGCTCGACTGGCTCCGGCCTCCTGTTTGTCCCTCGTGCTCTCCGTTACAACATCGGTGGCCGTGCCTTCAGCCACTATGTCCTGAACTCTGGAACTCTCTCCCTCATTCCATCCTCATTGCCCCCTCCCTCCCCACCTTCATAACCCATCTAAATACCTTCCTTTTTGATTGTGTTTAGTCACCTCCCTCTCCTCCCCTTGGCTCGTTGTCAGATTCCGCCACTGTGAAGTGCTCTGGAACGATACCCTGCATGAAGGGCACTATATAAATGCAAATTGTTTTTGTTGTGCTTGGCGTTGGGAGCCATCCGTACACCCAGTAACCAACGGGAGACTGAGCAGAGGTGGCTGAAGGCTACTTGTTTCCGTTAAGGTGAACACCTTTTTGCACAGGGCTCAAATGAACAAGGGGGTTAAGAAGAAAGTTGATGGATATATGAGTGAGAACAACAACAACTTGCACTTATATAGTGCCTTCCACGCAGTGTAGTGTTTCAGAGCGCTTAACAGTGGCGGAGCCTGATTCTGAGCCGGTGGGCGGCGGGAGGTGACCGTAGGCACGGTCGAACAGGAAAGTCTTCAGGACTTCAAAAAGGAGAGTGAGGGGTTAAGGCGGAGAGTGTTCCAGAGATTTGGGACGTAGTGGCTGAAATGGTGGGGTGAAGGGTGCGAGGGACGAGCAGGAGGCTGGTGCCAGTCGAGCGGAAGCGCTGGATGGTGGATTGGGGAGTGAGGAAGTTGGAGAGGTAGGGAGGTGCCAGGGAGTGAATGGATTTGAACACGAGTTGTTCGAATCTGGAATGCATTGCCTGAAAGTGTGGTCGAGCTCGATTCGATAACTACTTTTAAAAATACGGTGGACGGGTATTTGAGGAGGACCTGTTTGCAGGGTTATGGGGAAAGTGCTGGGGAGTGGGATTGACAATACATTGCTCTTTTCAAAGAGCCAGCACAGACTCGATGGGCCGAATGGCCTCTTTTTGTGCTGTACGATTCTATGATTCTATGATTCTATGATTCGTGGAGTCCTGTAGCTCAGTGGTTAGAGCACTCGCTTTGCAAGTGAGAGACCTGAGTTCAATTCCAGGCAGGGCGAAACCTTGGGCAAGTTTCCTTACTCCACACGCCTAATAATAATCCCTCCAAAAAACAAAAACAATAATTAAATTGGTCATTTTCAATCTACGACTGTTTGTGGGACATTGCTGTGCGCAATTGGCTGCCGCGTTCGCCCACAAATATACAGTCAATTCACTTTACAGTGTGTTCTGTGAAGCGCTTTGGGACGTCCTCCTGACGTGAAAAGCGCTATATCAAATGCAAGGATTATTATTATTATTCTATGAGTGTGAGGATCTTGAAGTCCATCCGTTCGATGATGGGGAGCCAGTGGAGCCTGACCAGAACTGGTGAGATGGGGGTACGAAGTTTGATCCGGGTCAGTATGCGGGCAGCAGAGTTTTGAATGAGCTGGATCTTGTGAATGGTGGAGCTAGGGAGACCGGCGAAAATTGTGTTGACAAACGGGTGCACGTGGGTTTCAGCTGCATTTGGGATAAGGTACAGTCGGAGGCGAGCAATGTGGTGTTGGAAGAAAGCATTCCTGGTCAGGGACCGGATGTGGGGGAGGAAGGGCAGTTGGAGGTGAAAGAGAATTGCGCACTTGTTCAGTGAGTCTGAGGAAGAACCCAGGGAGGTTGAGAAGTTTAGATCCGCAAGAGTGAAGACATTGACGGGAGCCAAGGAATATGGCTTCTGTCGTGTCCATATTCAGCTGCAGGAAGTTTACACTCATCCAGGCCTTGATGTCTGCCAGACAAGCTGATAGAACATCGGGGGACCTGGAGTTGGTACTGGAGGAGGCAAAGTAGATTTGTATGTCATCCGCAAGCATTATGCTGTGTCTGCGGATGATATCACCCAGAGGGAGCATATGGATAAGGAAAAGAAGAGGGCCAAGGATGGCGCCTGGGCTACCCCGCAGGTGACCAGGCAGGGGTGGGAGGAGAAGCCATTTGCTGAGATTAAATGGAGGCGGTTGGTTGGTTAAGTAGGAAATGGAGGTGGTTAGTTGGAGAAGAGATTAGAAACACGTTGAGCCAAGTGTGGAGCATGAACAATGGTTGCACTGACGAGCCCTGTACCTTGTACCCTGTGTGTAACCGGGCTGAGTGCCCTCTGTACTGTGTTTCTGTATCCTGTGTCCAGTGTGTACCGTGTTCTCTGTGTGTCCTGTACTATACCCTTTGTGCTCTGTGCACCAAATCCTGTATGTGTTGTCTGTATCCTGTGTGTGTGCTGTGGAAACCCTGTGTGCTCTGTATGTGTTGTGTGTGTATATGTGAGCTGTGTGTGTGTGTAGGTGCAGTGTGTATACATTCTGTGTGTGTTATGTGTGTGTGTGCTGTGTATGTGCTGTGTATGGTGTGTGAGTATGTGCTGTGCATGCGTGTGTGATCTGTGTATGTGCTATGTGTGCTGTGTGTGTGTGTGTACTGGGTATGTGGCTTGTGTGTATATGTGCTGATGTGCTGTGTCTGTGCTATGTGTGTGTCTGTGTGTGTGTGCGTGTCTGTGTGTGCTGTGTATGTGTGTGTTGTCTATGTGCCTGGTATGTGTATACTGTGTATGTGCTGTGTGCATGTGTGTCTCTGTGTGTGTCTGTGTGTGTGCTGTGTATGTGCATGGTGTGTGTATGTGCTGTGTGTGCGCGGTGTATGTGCCTGGTGTGTGTGTGCTGTGTGGGTGGTGTATGTGCCTGGTGTGTGTGTGTGCTGTGTGGGTGCAGTGTATGTGCCTGTTGTGTGTGTGTGCGGTGTGGGTGTGGTGTATGTGCCTGGTGTGTGTGTGCTGTGTGTGTGTGTGCGGTGTATGTGCCTGGTGTGTGTGTGTGGTGTGTGGGTGCGGTGTATGTGCCTGGTGTGTGTGTGCTGTGTGGGTGCGGTGTATGTGCCTGGTGTGTGTGTGTGCTGTGTGAGTGCGGTGTATGTGCCTGTTATGTGTGTGTGCGGTGTGGGTGCTGTGTATGTGCCTGGTGTGTGTGTGCTGTGTGTGTGTGTGCGGTGTATGTGCCTGTTATGTGTGTGTGCGGTGTGGGTGCTGTGTATGTGCCTGGTGTGTGTGTGCTGTGTGTGTGTGTGCGGTGTATGTGCCTGGTGTGTGTGTGTGCTGTGTGGGTGCGGTGTATGTGCCTGGTGTGTGTGTGTGCGGTGTGGGTGCGGTGTATGTGCCTGGTGTGTGTGTGCTGTGTGTGTCTGTGCGGTGTATGTGCCTGGTGTGTGTGTGTGCTGTGTGGGTGCGGTGTATGTGCCTGGTGTGTGTGTGTGCTGTGTGTGTGCGGTGTATGTGCCTGGTGTGTGTGTGCTGTGTGTGTGTGTGCGGTGTATGTGCCTGGTGTGTGTGTGTGTGTGCTGTGTGTGTGGTGTATGTGCCTGGTGTGTGTGCGGTGTATGTGCCTGTTGTGTGTGTGTTGTGTGTGTGCGGTGTATGTGCCTGGTGTGTGTGTGTGTGCTGTGTGTGCCTGGTGTGTGTGCGGTGTGTGTGCCTGGTGTGTGTGTGTGTGCTGTGTGTGCGGTGTGTGTGCCTGGTGTGTGTGCGGTGTATGTACCTGGTGTGTGTGTGTGCGGTGTATGTGCGGTGTACGTCTGTGCCTCTGAGCATCTCTGCAAAGTGATACCCATCTTCATTGAAACAATTGACACCACATCATCACATGACGACCCTTAGCAACTGTTGCCTTAGCGCTGAGATCCAAACAGAAGTGACTGAGACACTCAGCGGGTCAGGCGTCCACATGGAGAGAGTTAACCTCTCAAGTTGATGACCTTTCGTCAGCACTGGGGAATGATAGAAGGGACCGGATTAGAAGGACACGCAGAGAAGTAGGGGTTCCCCTGAAAGCTTTTATCTCCATTTCAGCAGCTTCTTGCCTCCAAAATGCAGGAAAATCCCAGGAAAGTCCCAGAGAAATGCCTGACACTGCCTGGTAAGTGTTCCCTCTGTCTGTCTCTCTCTCTGTCTGTCGCACAGGCATCTCACTGCATCTCCAGGGTAAGTGTCTCGGTTTCTAACCATTTTCCTGTTTGCTTTTATTTTGCAGAGACTAAATACACCAAAATGGCAGGTAACGATGCCCTTTATTTTTTGTGAATCAGTTTTTTAAAATAAAATTGAACTGTACAGTACAGTGGGAAAACAGATAAGTCAAAGTCTTGTAGCTTAGTGGTTAGAGCACTCACGTCGCAAGCAAGAGGACCATGGTTTGATTTCTGGGCCGGGTGAAACCTTAGGCAAGTTACTAACTCCACACACTCGCCTCTGTTTAACTAACAGTAAGTATGAACTTGTTAGTCGATTGGCGGACTCTTTCCGAGGGTAATCATCCCTCAAAAAAAAAAATTTGGTCCATCAATCCATGACTGTGTGTGGGACATTGCTGTGTGCAATTGGCTGCCCTGTTTCGCCCACAAAATACACAGTCACTACACTTTACAGTATATTCTGCAAAGCTCTTTGAGATGTCTCTACGAGGTGATAAGGTGCTGTGTCAAATGCAAGGATTATTATTATTCGGCCCAACCACGCCGTGTCCGTGTTTATACTCCAGGATGTCGCCTTCCAGTTTGACCATGACTTGCAGAGTGTATGATGGAGTAACTGCTGGAGTCTTTCCATTGAGAGCACTGTCTGGCAAGATTTCCCGCTGCTTGTCTAGCTAGGACCACCCTACCCATTAGTACTTTGGCTTGCAGGGTTAACAGGAGGGATGGTTCACTGTCTGCAGTGACTGGTCTGCCCTTCCAGGTCCTGCCGATGAGCCATCCTGGGCTGTGCTGTCATCAGCAGTGTCCTGGAATACAACGGACCCGCTTGGCTCAGGAACCGGACTAGAGACCACTACAGAGACGCTGGCCTTGAATCTCAATTCCGTTGCCAAATATGTCACCTTGGAGCCAGTTCAGCTCCATGGAAACCTCACTTACCTCCCTCTCTCCCTTCCTCCCACCCCCACCCACCACCTCCACCAAGGAGGACAGTCAACGTAATAATGAATTAACTTATTGCAGAAGAGTTGTCACACAAGAAGGCACTACCAGAGGACAAGGTGCAGGGCTTCCCCGGACGCACCCTCTTTGGCACCACGTTGGATCACAAAGCCCTCACTAAAGGTAAAGCCCTCACTAAAGGTAAAGCCCTCACTAAAGGTGAAGTATTTAGTACAGCCATACCACAGTGCTCCGAGATGCTACCCTGCCAAAGGTGCTACATAGAATCGTAGCATTTTAAAACACAGAAGGAGGCCATTCAGCCCATCGTGCCTGTGCCAGCTCTTTGAATGAGCCACTCACTCACCTGCTCTTACCCCATAGTCCTGTACATTTTTTCTTTTTAAGTACTTATCCAATTCCCTGCTTCCACTACTCTTTCAGATAGTGCATTCCAGATCGTAACAACTCCCTGGGTAAAAACATTTCTCCTTGTCTCTCCTCTGTTTCTTTTGCCAATTATCTTAAATCTGTGTCCTCTGGTACCGACCCACCTGCCCGAGGAAACAGTTTCGCTCCCTATCTACTCTATCAAAATCCCATATAATTTTGAGCACCTCTGTTAAATCTCTCCTCACCCTTCTTTGCTCTAAGAAGAATAATCCCAGCCTCCCTAGTCTCTCCACACAACAATATAGCTGAGTGTGTTGTTGCTGCTAATGCCTGACCTGACGCTCTTCTCTCCTGAGTTGTAGTGCGGACAGAGAAAGACCTGTTCAAGTCTGATATCCCGAGCGATGCCCAGCCTCAACGCCAACCACCACCGGTGCCTCCATCTCACGATGTCGGGACCGTCTCCAGTGCTCAGCCATCCCGGAACAGTTACCCATGTCGTGAAAGCCCTGTGCACTCGGGGGAGAGGGTCAAGATACACCCACCCACTCCAGGCCACACATCCTCCCAGCCACAAACCATCCACCTCCGCAGAGCCACCCCTTTCTGCTCGTCCTGGCCAGAGAGAGTGTCGGAGGACGGGCAACGCTCCACTACCCCACAGACACACCGCAGCGAGAATGTGGACGATCTGATCCCAAACAACATCAAACACAAATTTGGGAGCAAAATCGTGAATGAGCTGTTGACTCAGGAAGAGGTTGGTACGTTTAACTCAATGTTACTGTTATTGTAGTAAATGTTGTAGTGATTTCCTGGTGAAATGGGATTAACATATTTGCCGTGATGTAATAAACGGGGGGAGCAAACAGGATGGTCTCTGTTCCTGTGTTCTTGTACGTGTGTCTCTTGATGTATGTTGTGTGTTATATATGTGTGTATATTGATGCGTGCTGTGTGTATAATGCCTTTATACTTTGTGTTGTGTGTGTGTGTACCACATGGGTGTGTTGTGTGTGCGTATTACATGAGTTGTGTGCGGGTGTTACATGAGTGTGTGGTGTGTGCGCGCATATTACATGTGCTGTATGTGTGAGTGGATTACGTGTGTTGTGTGCATGTGTTACACATGTGTGTTGTTTTCTAAAGATTGAGAAGTTTTGGGCTGAGAAAGATGTGGAGGAGAATGTGGTGCCAAGTGCAGAGGTTGAAGAAAAGCCACAGAAACCAGCCATCGACCCTCTTGACACGTACGAGAGCCTGAGTTTCCCGCTGCGCCACAACCTCTTCCCAGGTACCCGGGGGGGCCATGGGGTCATGTCATTGAGGCCACTGAGGCTGGGACGATAACAACATAATAATCCTTAATAATATTTGCATTTGATATAGCGCCTTATTATGTCTTTGAGACGTCTCAAAGCGCTTCACAGAATGTACTGTAGCCAATTGCGCACAGCAGTGTCTAACAGTCGTGGATTGAGTGACCACATTATTATTTTTCAACATGTGCAGGCGACTTGAGAAATTATTGAGAAGAGAATCAGTATAAAGAGGTTTGGGGAAAAGAAAGCAATTGGGTTTGGAGTAGACAGCTCTGTGATAGGGATTGGGATTAGGATGAGACAACTGTGACTCTCTGTGCTACAGGAGCTCCTACCAAGTGGAAGAGCCTGGCCAGAGATAGCTACACACAAGAGGTGCATCATCGCTTTCAGTTGGACATGGACCACTGGCACGGCAGGCGCACAGATGAGCTGGGTGCGTAAGTGCCGTGAGCTCCCTGGAAAATAAAATGAAGCTGTTTTCTCTCTTCTCTCTCTGTTCCTTTCCCTTTCTCCGCTCGAGCTGCTGTTAAGGAGCCGGGCTGTGTTGCTGCCCTCGAACCTTAGAGCCAGTGTCTCTGCCAGGTGCCTTAAAGACAACTTTGCTCGGCTCCGTTCGCTGTGTAGCCGATCCTTAATGTGAGTCTATAATGGATTCCTTATTAGACATGGGCATTACACCATTTACTGGAGTTAGTGTGAGACTTTGTCCCCCCTGCCCCCTCAATACGTGACCAGCTCTCTGTACCTGTGGGAGGTACTGGGGTAGGAGAGGCTCCAGATGTTGGGGCTTCAGGACCTGGAAGGGAATAAATTACTGAACAAACTAACAGTAAATCGCATTTAGACTCTTAATGTGCTGCTCAGAACAGCTACAGGAGGTGGACAGAAGAGGACCCTGAGTCCTCTTCTGTCCACGTTTGTTTGCGTGAGAGAGTTTAAGAACTCCTTAGGAATCGAGATGTAGAATAAAGACAAACGTTTTTCTAAATATTTCAGTAATTTAGGATTTAATAATAATAATAATCTTTGCATTTGTTATAGTGCCTTATCACGTCTTTGCGATGTCTCAAAGAGCTCATAATTTGCCCAATTCTTGGCCTCCCTCCACACGTTTCACTTCACCAGCCAAAGCCTTGTCTTTCAGGTCAATGGGTTGAGAAGAACATCATCCACGAGAGGATGAAGAAAGCCCTGGGGGAGCTGAGGAAAGGAAAGAACGCTTCCTGAGCCCATCCAACCCCCAACCCCAAACTCCTTCCTCAATCCCCCTGCTCGATCCCCTCCCCCAAACCCCTCCTCCTCATCCCCCCTTCTCAAACTCCCCTCCCCAAATACCCCCTTCCTCAAGATCCCTCATCAAACACCCCTCCTCAAATCCCCTTCCCCAACTCCCCTCCCCCCCCAATGAATGGTAAGTTTAAAAAAACTACAAATTGAATAAATCATTCCACGGTGGAGGCTTTCGCTGCCCTCTGAGCAATATGCACCATTTCAATTATGGATACCTCTGTTTGTATGCTGTTTGTTCATCTATTTGTGTTTAGAAAATGAAATTAACAACAGGAATGTAAGCCATGGACTCTTCTGTGAGTTTCTTGTTCAAAAGTTTAACTTAAAAGATATCTTTGCACATTGGTCGTGGTCTCTGATCTTGGTACGACTTATTTTTGTATCACTGATCTTGGATCAGGCTTAGAATTGATTGATCCCCGTTACTGCGGAGGTGATTTGGAAGGTAAAAGCCCCTCTGTGGAGAGCGGTCCAGCTGGCCAATGCTTTCCAATCATTGAAGTGCTTTCAGACGTCTCGAAGACGTGATAAGGCACTATATCAAATGCAAAGATTATTATTGTACTAAATGTGGGATTGATGCTCACACAGATAATGGTGACTTGTGCCAGGTGCTAGAGGATGACCAGTAACCATATAATTGTAACCTAGATGCGGCAGGTAAACTGGTCTCACTTAAAACTACAACTGAAACTCAATAAGAGAGGAAGGGCTTTGTTTTGATTAAAAAGGCAGTTAAGATAAGGTTGAAGCTTCAACCTAGTGGACTCCACCCTTCAAGTCCCAGCTCCACCCTAGTGCTTACATTCCATTTCTTCTTCATCTCTAACTGGAGTGACTGGTAGTCTTCACCTGTTATTAGCGGACACTTCTATCTCTCTTCTTCCGCTCTTTCTCTTTTATCCCTTCTCCACGCTAAATCTCTTCCCTGATCACCAAAAGCTCATTGTTCACAATGCAAGTGTTTCTTAGGACACCAAATTCCTTTTGTAAATGTATTTTAAAAAGGAATTGGATAAATATTTGGAAAAGACAGATAATGGCATAAGTTCATTATGAAATGACCTGTTGCTTCAAAATACTTGATAGTTACCTTAACCCTCAGAACTGTAATGCTGTATTGTAAAACTGCCAGTTCTGTCTATAACATAAATGGATAATGAGGGCCACTGAAACCCTCATACATGACTTCATTACATCTGAGACAATTCCTTGCTTGTCGGCCTTCTCAACTCTGTGCTCCACAAGCTGCAGATCATCCAGAACTCTGCAGCTCATGTCCTCTCCCACACCAGGCTCCATGACCCCATCACAGCCACACGCGCCCGACTATACTGGCTCCTCATCCCTCAGAGAATCGAGTTCAAAATCCTCATCCTCTCCTTCAAGGCCCTTCATGGCCTTTGCAACTCCATCCCACAATCCATTCGCCTTGCTTCCCGCCCTTGCCTTCTTCAAGGTATGCCCCAAGTCTCTCTCTTCAATCGTACCTTCGGCCACCCTCCTATCTCTCTACCACCACCCCCCACCCCCAGTTCGGGTGCTAATCCCTGACTTGGATTAGTCTTGGAATGCCTTGGAATGCCCTCCCAACGTGAAAGGTGCTTTACAAATGCAATTTTGTATTGTATGGGGTTAGGAGGAGTCTCACCTTGAAGACATCTTTCAAAAATAAAACAATTTGAATTCACTTTTCCTGTTTATTGCTATTATTAATAATTATATACCAACCCTTGCCTTTGATACAGCAGCTTTCACAGCAGAAGGATGTCTCAATGCAGGATTTTATTGTAAAGCAGAGATTGTGTATTTTGTTGGCGAACGCAGCAGCCAATTTGTACACAGCAACGTCCCACAAACAGCCATGAAGTGGAGGACCAATTTTATCTGGGGGATTGTTGGTCAATAAATTCGGGAGAACTCCTTTCTCTTTTCCAATAATGCTATAGAATCTTTAACATCCATCTCAACAAGCATACATGACCTGGGTTTAACATCTCGCCCAAAGGACGGCGTCTCTGGCAATGCAGTGCGCTCCTAGCACTTTGTTGGAGTGTCAGCTTAGACTGAGTTCAAAGTATGAGTTACTTTGGTTATTTAAGAGCGATGAGTAAAGAGTTAAATCAGCAAGTTTTAAGCAGCTGAGTTAACGCAGTTCAAATGACAATATTACTGAAGTGTCAAAGGTTCAACTACAGTGCTGGCTCATCAGAGATTATTAAGATTTTATTTTACGTTCTAATTCTTTAGAAACGGTGAACCTATAAAGTTCTGGTTGAGTGCTGAATTGTCAGAGGTGCTGTCTTTCGGATGAAACATTAAACCCAGGTCTCATTTGCCTTTTTGGGTGGATGTTAACGATCCTATGGCACTATTTGAAAAGAGAAGAGTTTCTCCTGAATGTCCTGGCCAACAATCCTCCAGATAAAATTCTCCCCCCTCTCTGCAGACTCACATACAGGGGTCAAATATGTTCAATTTCCAAATTTCATGAGGAATCTGAATTGGGAACATGGGAACTTTTTTCACTAAGCGGAGACACAACACACTGACCAGAATAACTCAGCATCTACTTTCAGAGCAGAGGTCAACTGGTTAAGGAGAATCCTTTTGAAGGAGATTCTTGATACCAAATGATTGTGACTGTATTTTTCAACACTCTCTTCGATTTGTGCTGCAGACGGTCACCTCACCGCTTGCTCTAGCCTCATGGCTTTCTCACTTCTGACAATGTAATTGACAGTCCACGGCAGCATTTACACAATTTGCCACGGTGAGTGGTTCCCAAAGGTTTGTTTAAATTTTCTCCACTTCTCCTACCAAGGCGCTGACTTGTGATTGGGATACAGTCCATAAGCAGTAGCGGTCCCAATTATCGAAGTATCCATTCCATCCATATGACCCCGGGCAACAAAAATCATCATAGCTCAGGGACATGGAACCAAAATCCAGCTCAGATACTTAACCAAGAAGTGCACTTGCCGATCAAGGAAGCTCATCAATTGCTTTTTTCACAGGATTGCATGAAGATCATGAAGTGAATGACTGCAGTTGAGTGTTTACCATGGTCTAATCTGTGCTGATTCCCAATGGCATTCCTTAGAAAAGGCCTAGGTGGCAAATGGTGAGATAACCAAAAGTGCGGCACACAGACCCATGCGAATACCGCTCCGTAAACAGATTGCAGAGTCGGAGCAAAGTTCTTGTGGTTAATTGTGTCTAATTCCACTTACCAGAAGGAATCTCCATTTGAGATTTGGAGTCCAATAGAAATTGCCAAGTTTTAGAGCCACATGTCGGTAAATTGTAAAACGCTGCCTTTCAGTGAAGATCGGAAATTGCTGCTATATTTAGAGTCCACTTCAGTCGCACAGCAGCTTGGAATCAAAATTGGACAGGACAATGGCGAAGGCTTGGAGAACACAGAAAGGATAACGATAGTCCATACTAAATTCATTCTCAGCAACTTTTCCAAATTGCATCAGAATATTATTTGCTAAAGTGAGGAACAAGAGGAAGAATGAGTCACAATTCAAAAACCATCTGCACATTCGCAGCATTTTAACACTTTCAGTGAGTCCACCTCAGAGTGAACAGTATGTTACAAAGGACTCGCCCAGTTCTGTCTCTGACTCAAGTCACTTGCTCATGGGTTTGGGGCCCCAGGCCATCCACCACTCCCATCAATTCCATGCACTTTGGATTTGAATTTTCTCTGTTCTTGCCCAGGTTGCTGGAAAGGTGACAGCTCTCATTGCAATTATCTCAATTATTTTATATATAATAATAATAATAATCCTTGCATTTGATATAGCGCTTTTCACGTCGGGAGGACGTCCCAAAGCGCTTCACAGAACACACTGTAAAGTGAATTGACTGTATATTTGTGGGCGAACGCGGCAGCCAATTGCGCACAGCAATGTCCCACAAACAGTCGTAGATTGAAAATGACCAATTTATTATTGTTTTTGGTTTTGGAGGGATTATTATTAGGCGTGTGGAGTAAGGAAACTTGCCCAAGGTTTCGCCCTCTGCCTGGAATTGAACTCAGGTCTCTCACTTGCAAAGCGAGTGCTCTAACCACTGAGCTACAGGACTCCACGAATATATGTGTGTATATAATATATATATCAATGAATATTGCAATTATCTCAAGCGAGACACCTGGGTTCAATTCCAGGCAGGGCGAAACCTTGGGCAAGTTTCCTTTCTCCACACTCCTAATAATAATCCCTCCAAAACAAAAAACAATAATAAATTGGTCATTTTCAAACCACTACTGTTTGTGGGACACTGCTGTGCGCAATTGGTTTCACTTTACAGCATATTCTGTGAAGCGCTTTGAGACATCTAGAAGACGTGAAAAGCGCGATATCAAATGCAACGATTATTATTATTATTGTTGCGACAGTGAAGCAAGAGAGAGAAGTAAACACAAATAATTGCATTTATGCAGCGCTTTTCATGTCAGGAGGATGTCCCAAGGCACTGGACAGTCGAGGGCTTGCACCCAAGCTGGGGTCTGGATTCAGGAGGAGAAAAGGATGACCGAAGGGATGGTCAAAGAGGAAGGGCTTGAGACAGACTTTGAAGGAGATGAGAGAAGGGGCAATGTGAAGGGACTTTGCGATAGAGTTCAAAAGAGTGGAAGCAGATAGGCTGAAAGCCTAAGTGTCAATTGTGGATTGGGCAGGGCAGGGGACGTGAAGCAAGCCAAAGGAGACAATTATATTAGATCGTGGCAGATCTTTCAATCCCACTGGCCCACCTTTTTTCCATTATCCTTCAATAAAAGTCAAGTAATTGCTACGTTCAATGGGAAAAGCCCCTTTTAAAACATCCTCTCTTTATACATAGATTGTCCAACACCCAGTATCATCCCCCTGAATCTACCCTGCACCCATCTCATATTCACCACTTCACTCACGTTCTGAGCTCTGAATTATCTGGAAGTTTTTCACCGATGGTTTCTTAACCCGGCCCCGGAAGTTGAGGGTGAATCGTTTGATCTTGTTGTTCCATATGGGAGGATTATTCTGGAGCTCCAGGAGCCCGTGTCGATACTGCGCTTGCCACTTGCTGAGAATGCTCTCGCTAGCCTATTAAAAGAGGTTACATTTTCTTTAGTAAAGCAAATTGTCTTCTTATATCTGTGATACAAAAATAATAATAAATAAATAATAATAATTTTACCCCAGTAGATGCCCGGAGAAATGAATGAACTTGGCCACAGTGTTTCTTACAGTGGAGCATTTCAGTGCATTAAATGATTGCAATGTGAACTGTTACCAACACGTCCCCTTCCTGAACTGAACAACTAACCAGCCCCTCCATTTCTCCTATATCGTCTTATGGCTACATTTCACATGTTACACAGCACCGCGGCACATCAAAAGTATTGTGACTGGTTCTGTAGACAGCCGCTTAATAAGCAAAGTCCCATGAAAAGCCATAATAATATGATAATAAAAATAATAACTTTTACATATGGTTTAACGCCTTTCACATCATGACGATGTCCCAAAGCGCATCACAGGATATATTGTAAAATGGTGTGACTATGTTTTGTGGACAAACACAGCAGCCAATTTGTGCACAGCAATATCCTACAGAGCCATGAAGTAACTGACCAATTAATCTGGAGGATTGGTGGTCAAGACACTTGGAGGAACTCCTTTACTGTGCGCCACGGGTTCTTTAACATTCAACTGAAACGGATTTCTGTTCAATATCTCATCGGAAGGACAGCACCTCCAATGATGCAACGCTTCCCCAGTGGGTTTATGACATACCGGAATTTACTTTTATAATAATAATTGCTGCATTTGATATTGTGCCATGTCACCGTCATCGAGACGTCTCAAAGCGCTTCCCAGGATATACTGTAAAGTTTGTGACTATGTGTTTTGTGAGTGAACTTTCCTTTAAGTAACTGAATAAAGAGGAACTTTTAATGAGAAGATTAATGCCACAGACCTTTGTTTTGGTGATTATTCCACACACATTAACATTATCTTCTTACCAATTAATCATCCTGAAAAATGTGGCAGAGATTAAATTATTTCATAATTATTAAATTATTTAACGAGTCACATTTTAAAAAAAATACAAAATAATCTTACAAGGTATACGTTTTGCCAAGAAACGTGATCAGTATTTAGGGTTCAATTAATCAATCACTGAATATTTTCCTTACATCCCAAGGTTGGACTACAATCCGCTTTCTCGTCTCATCCATTCCCGGAAGGATCACAGTGATTTTTCGAGGTCCTTGGAATCCAAACAAATTTACATCCTAGACACAAACGCACACCAGTGAATGGAAAGGCTCTTGTTCTTTCACACTATCCCACCTGAACAGTTAGTGTTCAGTAAATGCATCTTACAACTTTGTTCCTTAAAATATCTGCAATTTTCCTTCTCTTTTAAATGAGGAACCATTCCTCTTATCCCCAGAAGGAAAAAAAATGACAACTTTTTTTTTTACAAAGTTGTGTCCCTTTAAGTAACCCTGAAGCACATGAAGTACTGTCGTTTTAGACTTACATAGCATATTGCAGCGAGTTCCTGGCGAATCTGGTCCCTGGAAAGCAGGCCAGTTCTTACAGGCTTTTGGCCTTTGTCGTACAGAGTGAAAGCAGTCCCCAGTGCATTAGCTCTTAACAAATAAGAGAGAAACAAGGCAGTGTTAGTCACAGAACACAGCAGCACAGTAGAAGTCTATTTATGGGGCACAGGTCACAAGTCCTGGAGAAAGAAAAAGTTGCGCTTTTGCATCAATGCAACTTTTGGACAGAGCAGGTTGGATACCTGGAAGGAAAGGACTTTCAAGGAACAGCAAAATTTTGAGGCTATTTCCTAGCTGTAACTAAACATAAAAAAGTAGATGTTTGTTTCAAAAAAATGTTTTTGTTTCTGCGATAAAGCATGTTTGGTAACGATCCCCGGTGGAGCAGAGTAAAATGGGGTGGTCGCGCTGAGGAAGACCATTTTATCATTAATGACAGTTTTGTTGGTAGGAGACGTTCTTATTATAGGCTACTGCAATAAGAATGTCTCTTCCCCTTCTCCATTATAACAAGAGGGAACGGGAGCAAGAGAGACACAGAGAGCTGGGGACTTAAATCAGACCGTTGGTTTATGTTGCAACATTGCACGATGAAATGCAATAAAGACACTTCTAACTGTGACGCAAAAAAAGAGGGGTGGTGTTGGTGGGTGGGGTGGGGGTAATGAAAGAAATTTTACAAATGCTAATCAATATTGTCAAAATTGTTTTTGTAGAAACTTTGTTCTGTTCTGTTTTGAGAGGTTTTGCTGCTAGCAGCTGCTAGTGTCAGGCATGTGATGTGGAATGACTGCCACCATGGGCACAGTTCTATCCAGACATGTTTGTGGAGTCCCATAGCATAGTGATTAGCGCGCTCACCTCTCAAGCGAGAGGACCCGGGCTCAATTCCCGAGTGGGGCGAAACCTAGGCAAATTTCCTTATGCCACACGCCTCTGTTTCCCTAGCAGTAAGTAGGAACCCGGTTGTTAGTTAATTGGCAGATCGCTTTCCAGGGGTAATAATCCCTCAAAAAAAAATTGTCATTCAATCTGTGACTATGTGCGGACACTGCTGTGCGCAATTGGTTGCTGGGTGTCGCCCACAAAATACACAGTCAATCCACTATACAATATATTGTGTATCGAATGCCAGGACTTAGAGCTGAATTTTAGTTCAGTCTGGATCAGATGTACTTACCGTAACTTTCCGACAAATCCGGCTCCTTTCTTTGTTTGATCTGTGGGATCGGTTGAGATGACGTAATTGGAAGTCTTGCTTTTCTTTCTTTTCTGTGCAGTCAAGAGCAATATCTGTATAAAAATAACAGAAATCAATCAGTGCATTTTGGCAACACCAGAACACCCCAGTGGTGGTGACACAACACCTAATAGATTCCCTTTCCCCTCAAACCCCCCACCCTCCAAGATATACACTGGACACCCTACAGGTGTTCAAATGTTAGGTCTTAAATGGTAACTAGGAAGGGGTGGGTCCCTGAGAGCACAGGCAGAATGGATGAAAGCTTTCCTACTCATAGTAATGCGAATTGTGCAAAGGACATGAAGCAAGCTGCTGTTAGCTGAATGGAGGCAGTGATTGGATCGGAAGGGTTGCAGGAGGTCAGAGAGATAGGGTTCAGTCGAGTATGTGGATGGGTTTGGATGTGTGATTTCTGCATGGGTCGGGAGGGGAATTCTGTTGAAAGCATGGGAAAAGGTGAGAAGTGTAAAAACACAAACCGTTTGCTTAGAATTAAGAAAAATGAAATCTCAGAATGAGGTTGGATAGTGGGGATAGAGGAACGCAGAATGTTATAGGACCAGAAAAGACCATTGCAGATTATTGAGTTAATCCCAAAATATTAATAATAACAATAATCCTTGCATTTGATATGCACCTTATCACTATATCAAATGCAGGAGTCCTGTAGCTCAGTGGTTAGAGCACTCGCCTTGCAAGCAAGACACCTGGGCTCAATTCCAGGCAGGGCAAAACCTTGGGCAAGTTTCCTTACTCCACACACCTAATAATTATCCCTCCAAAAAACAAAACAATAATAAATGGTCATTTTCAATCCATGACTGTTTGTGGGACACTGCTGTGCGCAATTGGCTGCCGCAGTTCGCCCACAAATATATGGTCAATTCATTTTGCAGTATATTCTATGAAGCGCTTTGAGATGTCGAGAAGACGTGAAAAAGCGCTATATCAAATGCAAGGATTAGTATTATTATTATTATCATCACGTCTTCGAGATGTCTCAAAGTGCATCACAGAATATACTGCAAAGTGAATTTTTTTTTTTGAAGGAATTATTACCCCTGGAAAAGCCAATCAACTAACAACCGGGTAAACAGAGGTGTGTGGAGTAAGGAAACTTGCTCATTCCTGCCGGTAATCAAACCCAGGTCTCTCGCTTGCGATGTCACTGCTCTAACCATTGAGCTACAGGACTGAGTGAAAAGATAATAAGGGTTGTTTTATTGAATTCTTAGTCAAAGGCTGTCTAATTCCATCTTGAATTCACTGCCACAATCACAATCACTGCTCTCAATATAAAATAATTCAATCGGAACTGTCTGAGGTTGAGGTCTGCCTCTGTGATCTAAGCCACGATAAACCATCACCACCACCTGCATTTATATAATGCCCTTCATGGAGGGTAGCATCTCGGAGCGCTTATTGGCGTCGAACTGGAGAGAGAGGGCAGGTGTCTTGCAGGTACAATTCACAAACCATTCACAAACTGAGCTTGATTGCTTTGCTTGATCTTGCTCATCCTTGGAATTTCACTGACTCTACACTGTATTAAACATTTCATGAAATCCATAATTAAGTTACCTTTGTATCGGACTAATCTCTTTACATTTCTATTTTGGGTGAAATGGTTTAGTGGACGGAAGGGAGGATAACAGGAATAAAAAAAAGACACTTTCCACTTTCCGATCAGTCCCACACAGACACTCACTCCGAACCTAGTTTATATAGCACAATTGTGGCAAAGAGATGGTATGAATTGGGCTGGAAATTGGGAGTGCTCACTGGAGACTGCCTCAAGTGCACACTGGAAATCGTCTCAAGGCGCTTCACAGAAAAATTTGTGAAATGGATTGACCTTGTATTTTGTGGGTGAAACGTGGCAGCCAGTTGCACAGAGCAATGTACCACAAACAGTTGTGGATTGACTGGCCAAATATATATTTTTGGAGGGATTATTATCCCCGGAAAGCGATCTGCCAATTGGCTAACAACGGGGTTCTTACTTACTGCTAGGTAAACAGAGGCTTATGAAATAAGAAAACTTGCCCTAGGTTTCGCCCTGCCCCAGAATAAAACCTGGTCCTCTTGCTTGTGAGGCGAGCGAGTGTGCTAACCACTAAGTTACAGGACTCCGACTATGGAGGCATATTGTGCCAATCCACTCAGCCTCCGCTCAGACATGGTTCCTTAAAAGTTGTCAGATTCATAGCAGCATTTGGAATTAAACGCTATTTTATTTTAATTGGAAAAGGAATTGCTGAGTTTGTCGATGTATTTCTGTGCTTATTTCATGAAGACAACAGAGTGATTTCCTAATGCTGCTGTTTTTTGATTTACTAAGGCTTATTTTTATTGTCAGTCCAAGTTTGCCTGAGCTTGATGGTTTGTATCTATGTAAACAGAGCACACCCCAGTACAGGCTCGGGTGGAGCAAAGGCAAAAGCGCAGCTGAAATTCGTCGTGACTAAGAAAGGGCTACTGATGACTTTTGAGTGGGGATAATATTATTATTATATTATTATTGATAGATAAGCCAGATAGTCAGAAAATTTGCGACAATGTTGTTTAAATAAATCAAGTTTAACACATGCACTCAGTTATATGTTATAAGACAACAGGCCCCCACGAATGCCCTTCTGAAATGAGAGGTGCTACGATTTATCAAATGCAAGTATTACTATTATCAGTATCAGATCCACATAAACACTGGTGTCACCAGGCCACAGAAGGCTCAGGGTAAGAATACATCAAAACTAAAGAAAATAATGGCAGCTAAACATACTTGTTCACCACCTTCTCTTTCCAAATACAGGTAGTAAGTTGTCCGCAATAATTGTTTCCGTCTCTTGATCCTGCATTGAATGATAGTGGATCGCCCTGCTGGGCACAACACAAACTCTTGCAGGCGATCAACAGTAAGTTCACACGGACCATCCAGATGCAGAAACACATCTGTAGACTGCTGCTGAGAGGAAAGAGGTCAGACTGAGAAATGTGCCAACACTTAATCAGACTTATTTCTTATTGGGGTTTTTAATTAAGAGAGGAACGAAATTGGGAGAGTGGGGATAAATTTCTAAACTTGATTGTATTATGGTCCTCTGTAAAATTTTCTGAGAACTCACAGCTTCAGGAGAACGTGTTTTCAATCCAGCGGAGTTCATTTCCAACATTGTGACCAGATCTCCTAAGAGGGAAGCAGAAATGATGACCAGGGAAAAATTGATCATCCAACTGCAGGAAAGACTTCAATCAAAATACAAGGTTATGTGCAAACCTGTCAGACTATAGCTCTGGGAGCATTTAAGAACTTTTTTTAGTTCTTATTAATGCACAGTTCAGCAGATTCAATCCAAAAGGTATTATAAGGGGACACTCTCATTGAGAGAGAGAAAGCGAGAGAGAGACAGAGAGAGGGAAAATTATATTTTCCTTAACGTCTTATTGCATTGATCCAACAGCAACTTGCATTTATTTGGTGCCACTCACGCAGGGGAGGCTCCCCAGAGCACTTGACAGTGGTGGAGCACAACACCGAGCCAGGAGAGAGGTGACCATAATCATGGTCGAAAAGGAAGGTCTTCAGGTGCGACCTGAAGATGGGGTAGGAGTGAGCAAGGCGGAGGGATAGAGGAAGAGTGTTCCAGAGTTTTGGGGCGAAGTGGCTGAAAACGAGACCACTAATGGTGGAACAGAGGGCACGAGGGACAAGCAGGATTAGGACAAGATGTTGGCTGCGTTAATATACGTGATGTTGGTGCTCAGTGGAATTGAGAGGTTTTACGTGTATCGGTGCCGTTCAATTCTTCAGAGTGATCCACAACGAAATTCTGCTCTGTGTTTTCTGCCATTGTGTAACCGTCCACTTCATCTTCAGTGAGGAAGGCTCCAGGACCAACAAAACCTGGGGCCAGTAGAGAGGAGGCAGAATGAAACATGTACTAGTCCGAGACAAAGACTGGAAAGAGGTGAGGGATAAAAAGGATAGAGATACTTAATAGAGAGTGGAGATTCCATTCTCTCTCTATAAACTAGACATTTGCAGGAAACCCCACTCAGCCATGTGGGACATCTGTGTGTGTTGGGGTTAGAGGGACGCTGTGATACTGATAGAACTGTACCCAAGTGGAAAGCAGGAAGGAAATGTGGAATTGACAGCACTGGATTTCTAAATGTATCTAACCTCGGACTCTGTTGCGCCGCTTCTTATTCTTGTGAAGGAGAGGTTGCTCTTCTGAAACAATTCGGAAATGACTTGAGATCCTGAGGAGCCTCGTATTTCTGGAGCTTTTCGTGTCACTTGAAAGAGAAGACCATCTGGTCAAAGCAGGGAACACAAGTCATTCTTGTGACTTGCGTTAATTCTTGTCAAATCAATGCCAACAATAGAAACAATTTGTATTTATATTGCGCCCTTCACGTAGAAAAACGTCTCAGAGCTTTTTACAAAAACAACAACAAATTGCATTTATTTAATGCCTTTCATGTTGGGAGGATGTCCCAAGGTGGTGAAAGACAGGGTCTTTAACAACATGCAACACACAATGGAAACACACACTGGAGTTATAACAGATGTGTAAGTAAAGAAGTGTGAAATCATGAAGGTTTTAGCTTGTTCTCAATGGCAATGGATATGCATATTCTCCCTCACAACAACCTGTGCCATGGCCTGACTGCAGACCTCTGAGGCGAGACAGGAACTTCCTGTCCTGTCTAGTTCTGAGCAGGTGTCATCCGCAGACACGGGATAATCTTCCACATGTTTGAGGATTACATACAAATCTACTTCTCCTCCAGCTACAACTCCAGCTCTACCCATGTTCTGTCGGCTTGTCTGGCGGATATCAAGGCCTGGATGTGCGCCAAAGTCTTGGAACTAAAGGTCAACAAGGCGGAAGCCATACTCTTTGGCTCCTGTCAACGCCTTCTATCCTGCGGTTCTGACCTCCTCAACTTCCCCAGTCCTCAGACTCACCAAACTGGTGTGCAACCTTAATCTACAGCTATCCTTCTTACCCCACAACCGGTCCCTGACCAGAACACCTTCCTGCACTTCTGCGTATTCCCCGGCTCCAACTGAACCTTACCCCAGATGCAGTCGAAACACTCATCCATGCGTTCGTCACCTCCCACCTTGACTATTCAAATGCCCCCCTCGCCGGTCTTCCCAACTCCACCATCAGCAAAATCCAGCTGATCCAAAACTCCGCCGCCCGAATATTCACCCATACCCCCATCACATCAGTTCTAGCCAAGCTCCATTGGCTCCCTATCATCGAACAGATTAATTTCAAGATGCACATTTTCAAATCCCTTCATGCCCTGGCACCTCCCTACCTCTCCAATCTGCTTACTCCCCAACCCACAACCTGCTGCCTGCACTCGACAGGCTCTGGCCTTCTGCACACCCTCCGTTCCACCATTGGTGCAGCGCTTTCAGCCACTACGCCCTGAAACCCTGGAACACTCTTCCTCTGTCCCTCCACCTTCCTTCCCCATCTTCAGAATGTGTCTGAAGACCTTCCTATTCGACCATGTCTACGGTCACCCACCCATCTTTCGGGAAGATGTCTTAAAGAGCTTGACACTGCTGTTTGGGTATCGAGCTGGACGTAAGAACCAAAGGGGATGGGGAGGTGAAAGATGGCCAAAGGTGCATCCTCCCAAGCTCCTTTTAGAACTGCTTCTGACCATCTTATATTTATTCCCCCTTGTTTTGGATTCATCAATAAGTGGAAACTATTTATGTCTACCTTATTGATTCCTTTCATAATCTTAAAAACCTCCATTAGGTCCCCTCTCAATCATCTCATCACAAGAGAGAAAATCTCTAATTCTTTCAACTTCTTAAGTTAGACTGGTGACACAGTCATAGCGTTGACCTGCTCAAAAGGACATCACCCTCTGTAATGGCTGATAAGGAGAGACTCAGCTGCTGTATTGTACGGTATCTGGTGACCCGAGTGGGATTGCAACCTTTCCATCCAAATAGGAATCGGTGCAACTGACGCGTACACCATCATGACTCGTGGAGTTCTGTTGCGTGTTAGTTAGAACAAGCGAGAGCACCTTAGTTCAATTCCCGGGCAAGGCAAAATGTTAGGCAAGGTTCCTTTCTCCATAAGACTCTGTTCACCTGGCAGTAAGTAGGAACCCGGTTGTTATTAGATTGGCGGATTGCTTTTCTGGGGTAATAATCCCTTCAAAAATAAAACAAATAAAAATAAATACTAATTTCGTCACTCAATCCATGACTGTTTGTGGGACACTGCTGTGCGCAATTGTCTGCCACGTTTCGCCCACAAAATATAGTCAATTCACGTTACAGCATATGCTGTGAATCTCTTTGAGACATCTTGAAGATGTGATAAGACGCTATACCAAATGCAAGGATTATTATTATTAATTTGGGATTAACTCGATAATCTGTAATGATCTTTTCCAGTCCTATAACTTCCTGTGTTCCTGTATCCCCACTATCCATATTATTATCCAAGTAATATTATTATAACAACCATTGATAACTGTGTGTCTCTCACCTTAACAGACCATCAGCAAGGATCCACACTACACTACATCAACACAAGACAAATGGACACAAATCACCAGTAAAGCACAATGCTCACAAGGAGAAACCAGCAGTGGACTTGAGTTGAAAAAGTAACCATACCTTGTGCAGTGTGCAGTGCGGCTGGGTTTCTGATTGCAGGAGTAGTTCCTCTCCATTTTCCTCGCCACCTGCTCGATTATGGATTTAAATTTGAAATGAGAATCAGTGGATTGAAGGCAAATTCACTGAAGTAAACATTACCGAATCGAAACCTGATATTTGGGGAAATCAAACACTCAAATCATTCCCATGGTGAAGTGAGTGTAATTTAAGGTAGTGACTTGGCTTAGAACCTTTGTTTTTCTGCATTGAACTAAACTTTGACCTGTTGTGCAAAAGGAGTGTTTTACAACCTCTTATCAATGTGGTTGCCCTGGAAACACTGTTTAATTAAAGATCCACGTCTCATATTACACAGTGGCTTGATGCAAGCATTCTTATTATGAATAAATTTGTTTTAGAAAGTGGAAGATGTGTGGGGCCCTCAGGAATCACCTCAGAACTAGAGTGCCAACTTGCTGGAATTCACAACCACAAACTTTCTCGAGGGAAAAAGGAATATCAGGTTAACACTACACAATCTTTTCTGCACTGCTTATTATCAAAATAAGTAACACCTCAAATATTTGGGAGCAGCTTGCTGGCATCACCTCTTAGTCAGAGAATATTGCTTGGCTCGAGTGCTGGTCTGTGCTGAATTCACAACCTTCAAGGCAATAATTGGAATCCCTGTTATTGGCCTTAGGGGGCAAGATCATGGAACTGAGAGCAATCAATGTTTCCCGTCTCAACTCATAACCAGAAGGCCCTCCCAGGAATGCTTCATGAGTAATTATCATCAAATGTAGTGATTATTTGGAGGCAAATATAACAGCCATTTGCACTAGTAAAATTCCTGCCACAGCAATTAAAGCAATGACCAATTAATCTGGTGAATTGTTAACCAGAACATTTCTCTTTTCTGATAGCGTCTTGGAAACGGTGACGTCTACTTGAATAGTTGGATGAGACTTTGGTTTAATTGGAGTGTCAGCCTGGACTATGAGCTCAACAGCAAGGGTGCACCTTGGGAGGTCCTCCTGACGTGAAAAGCACTAAACAAATGTAATTTATTGTTTGTTCTTACCAACAGAGCTGAACGAGCACAAACTAATAATGATAATAATAAAATAATAGAAAGTAGCTCAGCTGAACCAACAAAAATGGCGCATAGAATAAAAATTGTCCTTAAAAAGAAAATGATGTCTTGTAGAAAAAATGAATAGGAGACAAAAATCATCATGGTTAATTCCAAGAGAAAGAACAAGGCCTGGATATGAACCGAAACTACAACTAGTTGACTAACGGAAAGCTGAAAGCTGAAACAGAAGCTCTCATAATATCAGCACAAGAACAATCTATTACTACAACAACAACTTGCAGTTATAAAGTGCCCTTCACACAGGGTAGCGTCCTGAGCACTTGACAGTGGCGGAGTCTGACCCCGAGCCAGGGGGAGAGGGAAGGGGGAGGTGACCGTAGGCACGATCAAAAAATACAATACAATATTACATTTACGGGAAGACGTCCCAAGGCGCTGGGCAGTTAGGGATTTGCACCCAAGCTGGGAATCGGGATCGGGGAGGGTAGAGGGAAAGGAGGGTATGAGAGTGGCCGAAGAGGAGTGTTTTATGACACTTCTTGATAGAGACAAGGCGAAGGGAATGTGGGATGGAGTTCCATAGGGTGGGGGCAGAAAGGCTGAATATCCAACCACCGATGGTGGGGTGAACCGGGTAGGGGATGTGGGGCAGGCCACAGCCTGCTGAGCAGAGGTAGCGGACAGCTTGATATGGGGTCAGCAGATTGCAGAAGTAGGAAGGAGTAAGGCCATGGAGGGTATAGTGGCTGAAAGCACGGCTGCTAATGGTGGAGTGGAGGGGGCAAGGGACAAACAGGAGGCCGGAGCCAGATAAGCAGAGGCAGTGGGTGTTGGAGTGAGGGGGTGAGCAAATCGGATAGATAGGGAGGTGCGAGGGCCTCGGATTTGAAAATGAGTGAGAGCATCTCAAAGTCAATCTGTTCGGTATTTGGGAGCCAGTTGAGTCTGGCAAGGACTAGTCTGATGGGGGTACATGGTTTTGTGCGTGTTAGTATCCGGGTGACGGAGTTCTGAATGAATTGGATTTTGTGTACAGTGAAGCTGGGGAGACCAGCGAGGTGGGCATTTGAATAGTCCAGCCATGAAGTGACAAAGGCATGGACGAGTTTTTCAGCTGCTGGGGATTTGAGGAATGAACGGAGGCGCGGAATTGACAGAGGTAGAAAGAAATGGTCATGGTCAGGGAACGGATATGTAGTAGAAAGGAAAGCTGTGGATGCAACCTGATGCCTAAGTTGCGGATAGGTTTGGTGAGTCTAAGGGAGAGCCTGGGGAGGTTGAGGAGTTCGGACCCACAGGAAAGAAGACGTTGACGGGAGCCAAAGAGGATGGCCTCCGTCTTGCTGATGTTCAGCTATAGGAAATTTGCGTTCATCCAGGACTTGATGTCCGTCAAACAAGCTGACAGGACATCAGCGGACTGGGAGTGGTGGCACCCGGAGGAGGAGAAGTAGATTTGGGTATCCTCCACATACATTTGGAAGTTGACTCCATGTCTGTGGATGACATTGCCGAGAGGGAGCATGTAAATGAGGAAAAGAAGGGGTCAAGCAAGCGAAGGGATGCAGCCTTGGGGTACCCCACGGGTGACCGGGCAGGGGCTGGAGGAGAAACTATTTGCTGAGATGTATTGTTGGTGGTTGGTCAAGTAGGACTCAAACAATGCGAGTGTGGTCCCACTAAGGTGGATGAGGGAGGAAAGGCGGTGGAGGAGGATGGTGTGACCGACTTTCTCGAACGCAGGGGAGAGATCGAGGAGGTTAAGGAGGCAGAGGGGGCCCTGGTCACAGAGCGAGACAATGTTATTTGTTACTTTGACGATTGCTGTTTCTGTGCTGGGGGTAAGGTAAAAACTGGACTGGACGGGTTTGAGTAGGCAATGCAGGGAGAGGTGTGAGCGAAGTTGATTTGCAACCATGAATTCTAAAATTTTGGCCAGAAAGTGCAGGTTTGAAATGGGTCTGAAATTTAATAATAATAATAATCCTTGCATTTGATATAGCGCTTTTCAAGTCGGGAGGACGTCCCAAAGCGCTTCACAGAACACACTGTAAAGTGAATTGACTGTATATTGGTGGGCGAACGCGGCAGCCAATTGCGCACAGCAATGTCCCACAAACAGTCGTAGATTGAAAATGACCAATTTATTATTGTTTTTGGTTTTGGAGGGATTATTATTAGATGTGTGGAGTAAGGAAACTTGCCCAAGGTTTCGCTCTGCCTAGAATTGAACTCAGGTCTCTCACTTGCAAAGCGAGTGCTCTAACCAGAGCTACAGGACTCCAAGGTTGGAGGGATCGAGGTTGTTTTTTTGCAGAGAAGGACTGCTTGATTGTATCGTCCAGCAGTGGGCAGAGGAGTGGGTGCTGGATGACCAGAAGCTGGGTGGAGAGGGGGTCCAGGAGGTGGGGGTCTTCATCTTGGTGATGATGGGGGAAAGGGAGGCGGGAGAGATAGGGGCAAATAAATGTATGCCGTAGTAGGAGGAGAGGATGGTGGGGGGATGGGTGATATATATGGGGGAGATAGCCAGGTGGATGTTGTCATTCTTGGCTTTAAAGAAGTCCAGGACCTCTTCGCATTTGGTGTCTGAGGTGAGGATCGAGCCTGCTTGAGAGGGGGTGTGGAGGAGGTGGTGGGTTGTGGAGAACAGCAGTTTGGGGTTATTTTTTGGCCTTGAGAATGACCTGCGAATAGAAGGCAGTTTTGGCTTGCAAGAGGGAGTGGTGGTAGGTGTGAAGACGCTCGAGAACCATGAGGCCGGGTTTTCGGCCAACTGCGCTTGAGCGACTCGGTTTGGGATTTGAGGGAGCAGATGTGACTATTGTACCACGGGGAGCTGGTGGGCTTGTAAACAAACCTGGTTTTCAGGAGGATGAGGGAATTGAAAGTTGAGGATAGATGATCATTAAGCAGCTTCGTGACCACATCACTCCCACCCTTGCTCTCCTCCATTGGCTCCCCATCCCCCAAAGGATCGAATTCAAGATCCTCATCCTCACCTACAAGGCCATTCACGGCCTTGCTCACTCCTACCTCTCCGACCTACTATCCTCCTACTTACCTGCCCGTACCCTCCATTCCTCTAGCTCCGGTCTGCTCCACATCCCCCGCCCTAACCGCCCTACCATCGGTGGCTGGGCTTTCAGCCTCTCAGCCCCCAGGCCCTGGAACTCCATTCCCCCAGTGTTTTCACCTTGCTTCCTCCCTTTCCTCCTTCAAGGCCGGTCTCAAGAGCTTTCTCTTTGACCGTGCCTTCAGCTCCCCTCTCGACTCTCTACCCCCTCCTCGCTCCCTCCCTTCTCTCCCCTCACCCTGACCATTTCCCCCCTGCTCGGGTCCCGACCCAACTGTCCAGTGCCTTGGGATGTCCTCCCGACGTGAAAGGCGCTCTATAAATGCAATCTTGTTGTTTTGGATCACTACATCATGATTGGTGCAGGTGAGCGGAGGGAGCAGGCGGGTTGGCAGGGGGTTAAGAGATCGCAGAGATAAGGTGAGGCGAGGCCATGGAGGGCTTTGTAGGTGAGGACCAGGATCTTGAACTGAATCCTCTGAAGGATAGGGAGCCAATGGAGTCAGGCAAGAATGGGGGAGATGGGGTCACGGAGTTTGGTGTGGGAGAGGACACGGGCTGCAGGGTTATGGATTATCTGCAGCCTGTGGAGGGAGGAGTTGCGAAGGCGAACAAGCAGGGGATTTGCGCCTGGAGGTGATTGAAGGCATGAACAAGAGTTTTAGCGGCCTGAGGGGTGAGGTAGTGGTGGAGTCAGGCGATGTTACCGAGGGAGGGAAGGCAGAGTGGGTCATGTCTTTGATGTGGGGAAGAAAAGACAGTTGAGGGTCGAACAAGGCATCTAGGTTCCTGACTGGCTTGGTGAGTTGTAGTGTGCAACCATGGAGGTTGATGCTGCCAGAGCCTGAGGTGCTGAGGCGCTGGCGCGAGCCAATCAGGAGGGCCTCAGTCTTGTCCACATTCAACTGTAGGACATTTGCCCTCATCCAGGACTTGATGTCCGATAGGCAGTCTGTGGTCCTGGAGTTGAGGGTGGAGGCAAAAAGATAGAGTGGGGTGTCATCTGCATATATATGGAAGTTGACCCCATGTCTGTGGATGATGTCACCAAGGGGGAGCATAGATATTAAA